CAATTTCATGAGTTTCCATTAATATGACTATTATGTATCAAAAATATAAATGTAAAATATATAATAACAATTATGAATTATTCTACTTTATACTTATTCATATTCTATACTTATTATAAGAATCACAATCTCATGAGCTTTCGTTGATATTGTCAAAATTATAAATCAAAAGTATATCATTGTCAAAGTTTTCTTAATAATTGTGAATTATTCTACTTTAAACGTATTCATACTCTATACTTATTAAAAGAATCGCAACCTCGTGACTTTTACTCTACTTATTCCGGTTAATACATTCATTTTACTCACATAATAATTTTTTTTTGTTAATTTTAATTTAAGTGGGTAATAAGTTATACATGTTGTTATACTATAACATTTGAGTTTTAATATATCACTTGGAATCAATAAATATATTTCAAACTATACAATGGGGTGGGGCTAATACCGGCCCTGCGCCTCACCAATTGCCTCGTCGGGCACTTTTCACATGTTTGCCCCATTCAAGGGGAGGCATCGCAGGGCGCAAATTCTTCACGATCCATGTCCATCCCTATGTGTTCTTACCTCATATGCATGTATTTTCGTTGTCTCGAATCGATGATTTCTTTTTCTAGTCAAATTGGTAAAGCGCCGGATCAAATTAATCTAGTACATATGTTTGATTGAATAAAAACACTGTATATGACGGGGCTCACGATGAGTTCTTACGATTTTCAGTATCCCAAATGTAATTTAGAACATATCCTAAGTTCATGCAATAATTTCTCAATAAACTACCAATTTTATTTGGCCAAAAAGAAAATAGCCAATTCGGATTAATGGTCTCTGCCTTTGAAAATGACCATTTCCTACGGAAAAAGGAATATGGCCCGTGGAAAAATCAATTAAACCTTTCGATGCTAGTAGTATGAACCGTTTTCTCACACCCCAGGAAAAATGGCGCGCATATATGCATGTGGTAAAAAAAGGAAAAGGGTTTTGATAAAGAAAGAAAAATTCAGATTTGAGTCATTTTAAGAATATATAATGTATTTTTTGTCCAAAATGAAGATAATTAATGAAAATTCATTAGCTATTTATGAGATACATGATTGTATTGTCGATCGATTTATAATGTTACGCATTGCATGGCATTATACAGTCACTATTTATTTTAAAGCAAGCATTAACTTTTTATAAAATTCTTAGGTAAAAATTTGAGGTTTACAAAGAGAAATTTTTTTTTCTTTACGCTTAAACAAATGCCAATGGTATACTCTAGCGCTCCGGTATGTATATCATCAACTATATTGATAATTGTAGATTATTGTGAAATATGGAAATGCACAATGATCAACAACTTCAGTTGACTCCGCTATTAAAGACAGAAATACTTCAAAAAAACAATATTTTTTTTATTAATAGGTAATAGAAAAAGAATATGGCAATGTCATATCACTAAATGTATAGTGGCAGTTTGGTAAGAGCAACTTATTGCACTCTTACTAGTAATTGTGTGACCATTTATTTTTACATTAGCTTTTTTTTTATAATGAACAGATAATCACGGTAAAAATATCAAAATACGACTTCGCTTTACAATATATTATATTCTACATGCAATGTTTATCCAGGTAATGGTGTATTTGCACACCAATTGCATTGAACAACCAACTAAACACCCCCATCTTCTGAGGTTTAATATAATTGTTCTAATTAATTGAATACATTGCTTTACATTTACCTAAACCTCTACAAGACAAAGCACTCACGACCCCATGTTTTTTCTTTGCCTACGTCAGTTCAGAATCTTCCTCGGATCCGCCACCCCATTTACGCATCCTCTCCGATGCTTGCTCAACCTGCAATCGAAGGGCCACAATCAGGAGATCATAATCACATCAATGAACAAAACCCTAGTGTACATATAGATCATGCGCGAACCTCTTTGTTCCAGTCGGTCTTGTAGATGATGATGAGGAGGATGATCGTCTGCAGCAGTGTCCCAAATATCATTCCCAACCAAATTCCCTGCAACCCCATTTGTATATGCATACAAATTTTTTACATATTCAACTGTCATTAGAAGAAGGAAAATTTTTCGCGGGGAATATAATTTTGAAGAGGGAAAGTTGTTCTTACCTGCACTCGTAAGTTCGTCTTGTAACCGAGAAGAAACCCAAGAGGGAGCCCGACTACATAATAACAAAACAAGTTGATATAAGCCACTAGGGCTTGCCACCCTCCTCCGACGGCGACGCCTGCAAAATGAAATGATATGCTAAATACTAAGAAAATTTGTGCACACTATATATGTCTCCATCATGCTAAGAAAATGGAAAGTTAGGGCCAAATTGAAGCAAAGAAGACTATCTCAAAAGAAACAAGAGTACATTCTGGTGACCTGATATAACTGGCTGTATACTGTTGAGCAACATGGTGATTCCGAGGAGGTAAGCTAGCTTAGCGACGGCCCCTCGCATCTCGCGGTCGCTGGTGAAGATGATGGCGAAGTAATCTTTCGTCGCCAAGATTAGGATCGCGAAAAACAGACCTATGATGAAAGACTCTATGACCGTGACAACCACGGAGTACTTGGCAGCTCTGGGATGCTTTGATCCAAGCTCATTGGAGATTCTAACACTGATCATGGAGTAGACGTCAATGCTTGGCTTTTTTTTGTTCTTTTTTTTTTGGAGGAAGATTAGAATCATTTTTAGAAACATTAATCGAGAATTAAGCAGAATTTCGGGAATTTACCTTATGGCTGCATTGATTCCTATGAACAACATGCCTTCCCATCCATTGATGTTCATGCTGGGGAACGCAACATAGTAAACGACTTCAGGTCAATGACTCCTAATTATTGGTGAGACGAAAAAAAAAGTTTGGGATAATGGCGTTCACACGGGGCAAAGTTCAAGACTTTTCGTGAGATTTTCTTTTTTATAAGAGTGGCAAATCGCGTCATATCATCATATTCGTATCGATTATTCGTATTCCAACACATTCTTTCAACGCGGTTAGAAAGTACTTTTTTATGTTGAAAATGGGTATATCTCGGCAAATAGGTGTCATATTCTCATGAATTATGCCGCAACACAGTAAGCTTCTCCAAAGGAAAGAAATCATGCAGACTAATAGTAACAAAGAGACCCACCAGATTGAGAGTGAGCCAACTGCTAGAACGGGGTCGTCAAGTTGGCCAGTGAGCACAATAATGGTCATGAAGTACCAAATCTCCAAGCACAGCATCACAGCTGAAGCCACCGAGAGCTTCACAAACTCCCACAGATCCTTGAAAGCCAACCAAGACAGCCCTTTCCAACCATCCTTGCACCACCCCACCACGTACACCACCTGCGCCACCGAAATCCCCCATGCCGACACGTCGTACGCCGCTGCCGCCCCCGCCAGCCCCCACCGGAACACCCTGATGAACAGGTACAGGAATAGCACGTGGGTGAGGAGCGCCACAAACCCGATCCAAGCGAGCACGTTGACCTTGCTTTGTGCTTGGAGGAACTTTTGGGTAGGGAAGTTGATGGCCAGGGAGAACATCTGGGGGATGACCTGGAGGGTGAACTTGCCGGCAAGGTCAGCAATGTCGTCCCGCTGGCCGAGGAACTTCAGGATCGGGGTTGCATAGACATAGAGGGGCAGGATGGCGAAGCATGCTGCCGTCAGGATGATCCATGACCGCTGCATGTACACGCCGAGCATGCTGATTTGCCCGGCCCCAAACGCCTGCCCACACAGCGTCTCTAGCGCGCTTCCCATGCCAAACTGCACAGATTTCGCATTCAAATCAGGAAATCAAAATGAAATGAGATCAAACAAAGGTCTCACATCATAGAATGCAATGAATAATAAAATCAGAGATGTATCAGCATGTATTGGGTTCTCCAATTCTAGGCTGATGTTATTCAGCATATGCTGATTGACCGAAAGCTAGAATTATCGAAGAGTGCCTCGTCGATTTCACGACGAGCACCGAAAATATGTGGGTGAAAAATGTAGGAAGAGAACACAAATAAATACGAATGCAAGAAAAATCGACAGCTTACTAAGAAACCGAAAGAGAAGTTGGCGATGACGGACAAGGAAATGGCCACGGCCGAGAGCTCCACATTCCCAATATGACCAACAAAAATGTTCGTGAAAGAATTGACCCCATAGTTACACAGAATGTTGAAGGCAATTGGACCCGCAATCACCCAGAGCTTGGTGCTTTCCACGCGACACACGTACTTGGCATCCTCGAAGGTCTCTACAGGCGCGTAGTCCCCTTCGCTGGGACCGAGGATGGTGGTCGGTGCGTGGTGGAGGTCGGCGGTTTCGATCACCGACTCACCAGCACTGGGATTCAACGGCAACTCGCTGCGGGACTCTGGTTCTCTTGGAGGGTTCGTTCCGCCGGAGTAGTCAGTGCCACCGACTGCCATCAATGACACATTTTCTTTATTATTCGCGATTTCGCGACGCCCTTTAGAATGTTGTACTCCTTTTTCTTTTTGGTTCTTTTGCCAACTCTTGCTGGAAGTTAGGGACAGAATTGAAATGAAATGCAAAAGGGTGTTTGTTCAGGGGAAAGAAAAATGAAACATCCAATTTGATGGCTTTCAGTTCCTGGAGAGGGTGGCTCGGATGTCTTTAGCCTGTTTTTGTTGGAAACGACCTACAAAGGAGATGGAGTTGCCAGGTGGTACAATTTGTAACAACTATGTATGCATTACCCTGGCCATTGAAATATCTCCAGTTAGAGAGAGAGAGAGAGAGAGACAGAAACAGAGAGAGGGGGTGCTGACTTGGTCTGTAGGGGGAGATCATTAGGTGGTAATGGTTTGTTCCTGAAAATCTCTCCTGTTTAGGTCGGAAGGTCAATGCAGCTTATGGTCAAAATATTGACTGAAACGATTCGATGTGCTACGTCAGTCCAAGATGGATATTCTGCCATGTCGTGGCAAAAAATGGACAAGCAAATTGTTGATGCAAAGAAAATTGGACAGGCAATTAAATTTTCCGAACATTTCACATGCTTTTTCCACCGAAGATCCTTTGTCTCCCCATACATTACAACCCCCAATTCGTCAGAAACATAACGAATTTCTTTAATACCCCAGAAAAAATTTAAAGAAAGAGCCACCATATAAGTAGCTTAGATACCTTCAGGAGTCGAAACAGAAGCAAAAGAAACAAAGACTGTACAAGATGAATCTTGCTGAAGGACAATCAAAACAGCTGAACCGGCAATTCCAGATCTCCTTTTCCTCAGGGATTATTATTCGCCTCAATCAAAAAATAGGGCAAAATTATAGATGCAGATCCATGTGAGGCCGGAGACTGGAGTTATAACAAAGAATTGAGACAATGGAAACCGAGCTTTTTCTTTACCCCCCCTGAATTTCCTGTATAACCTTCAAACAGCTAAACCAGACAGATTATGTACAAGAAGCCACCATCAACAGAACCATTGAAAACGAGAAAATTTGCCTCGGCAATGCAAAGTCGACCACCTCCGCCGAACGCACTCAGACTTCAGCTGGCAAGAAGAGCTACAAATCGAAGGAATTGTCGAATTCCATGATCTGCCACAAAAAAAATATATAAGCAAACAATTCCATAGTAAGCAAATACAAGAGCAACAATCGAGTAACGCGTGCATAAACGAATGAGTTGGGTAAGCGCACACTAAATCCTAAAACCTATTTACAAAGTGTGATTCAAATCTAAAACTTTTCCATTGAGCAATAAAATTCTTTCAAGTTTTTTACTCAAGAATTTGATGTAAATCCTGTACACGTGCCAGTGCCAGTGCCAGTGCCAGTGCCACATGTTACTATCACGTAGGGTTTCTGACAAATTTATCTTGCCGAGTAAACATAAGAACTTGATTGAAACTTTTGAAAGTTTACAAAATTTATTGCTCCATTCAAAAAGTTTCAGAACCGAATTGCACTATAAAATTTTCTTAGGACTTCTAGTGCACATATCCCACAAATTCATGATGATAGCAACGTGCTAAGTACTGCCAAAGGTCCGTTTCGTGAAGATAATACTGCAGCAAGGTGGGTCGTTTGCACATGATTTTGAAATGAATCTAAATAGGAGATTGTTAGGTCAATAAGTACTCTTATTCACAATTTGACTCCACAATATTCTGCAACGAGAGGAGAATGTGAACCTTATCACAGATGGGACAGATGTCACTTCTTTCCATCCACTCCAGGATGCACGAGAGATGAAAATGGTGTTCACATTTAGTGATGAATCTTGGGTTATCCTCGTCATACACTGCATTGAAGTCAAGTTGCACAATCACTTATTGCTGCTAATGCAACTATTTAAATCCACAAGAATTTTATTTTTATCACCCCCAAAACTTAGAAAAACAGATAATAATTCATAACGCAATTACAAATAGAAAAGGGAAGCACCTTCAAGACAAATGGGACAAACATCCTCCTCATCCGCTACCGAAACATTGAGGTCATTTGATTTAGAAACTTCAATTGCTTTTGGCGAGCCTAATGGAGCAGTGGACTGAGCTTTATAGTCTGGCTCCATGTGTTCTAGGCAAACTGGTTCCCTAACAGAGTCAGTGCCTATTGGTAGTGATCTCGACACTGTGTCATAGGGTAAAGGCAGCGGTGGAGGACGAAAATTATCGGGCATTGATGCCTCTAACTGCAAATCAACTAAAAACCCTGACGTGATGGCAGCAGCAGTAGCATCATGCGATGTGAGGGACTCATGCTCTTCCAAAGATGGAGGATACTGCACAGAAAGGCCGGAATTCTAGCAATGATAATATTCACCAAACTTGCAAATTATCTTTTAAAGAGAGAAACCTAGATATCGATAATCCGATCACGAACTCTATGCGCCAGACAATTTCAAAGACAGTACCAAATAACCACACCATTTACCAATCGTTAGACTAGAAAGTACTAACCTAAATCCCACACCTTGAAAATGGATTTCCATGTGTTGACCCATGAAGAATACACTTAGAGGTCGTAACGAGTTAAACCATTGTAAAGATACAATACACAGTAAACCAAGTTAAGGCATAAGATTTTGCTGACATTTCTCGATCAAACTCATTATGACTGCAAGATGTGACGCAGGCAGAGAGTATTGGTAGATCAGATGTAGAATTCTTTGATGCCATAAGAACTCTGTTGTCTCTTGACTCTTAAGTTCACAATGGCCTACACGGGCATCAAGTTCCCAGGTCAAATTCACTTAAATTTCGTATTATCTATTTAAATAAGTCAAAGGCCCCAAGAATGGTGGCCTACTTTGCAGGGGTACCCGGAGATACCCCTTTCGAGGAGTATTGCCCGTGTAGTCATCATGGGCTATGACCTCCACTGCTTAGCAAGATACTCGTACATGCATCACAGCTAAAAAAGAATAAGACACAGATGCACCCAAATAACGACAGTGTTAAAATATTGCTCCATAAAATAATTACTAACATAATAATATACAGGTGCCCCATTCAGATGAGCTTTCCGAGTCGAACAACAGCAGCCTCCCATTACAAGCAGTATCCTGTCCATACAATCACAACAAACAGCGCATGCATATTCAGGTATGTAGAGTGAGAGGATAGTCAAATGTGTGAAAATGGTGAACACATGCCAGTCAATCAAATGAGCTAGAAAGCATGGTAAACATAGAATCCATTGCACGCTAGACAAATAGAAGTACGAACTCTCGCAAAAATCTTTCTGAAGCTCACTAACCAGAGATGCAGATAACTACCGTGAAATATGTGATTAACAATCCTATCAATGACTTTCGGATTGTGGAGTCATAGCCAAAACATAGCAGTATGCATGATCACAATCATCAATGATAATCAAATTAGCAAAGTGCCTTGCTGGCAAGTGGATACTAAAAAAGCTTGTTCTAGCTACTAACCCAGAAGCATCGTAAAAGAAGAATCTGAATTGTCCCGGAAGAAAGAAAAGCTATTGGTTACAAAAACAATCCGGTGTCCAATGAACTAGAGTAGGAATTTAACAATACCATAGTATATTTATTGGAAGATCAAACTGTAGTTGCGCGAACATCGCGGATATATTCAGAGAGAACTCAATGTCTCCAGTTCTGTGCTTAACAGAGTAGAGTAACATGATTGTCCTAGAAATCACTACAGACTGCCACGACCAGAAAAAAACACATTCTTCTTTCACGACCTGTTTCACGATATCCAGAACTTAATAGCTCAATTACGGCTCTTTCCACTAGGGGAAAAACAATCGCAACACCAAAAGCTGCTACATAGAACAAAACATGCACAACCCAACTGAAGTCTGGCTCGGCAACTCAATTTTACAGAAACCATCCACCAACACGAGGAGCCAATGAACACCCCGAAACCACTACGGGAAAACCAACCCTTTTCGCCTCGCACACTCAAGTCTACCGGGTAAGGGATCATCGAGACCGGATGAAACCACAAACATGGCCAGCTTATTCAAACCCACAATTCCAAATCCACTCACCGCCCCTTACAGAAGGAGGACAAGAGGCAATCACAAGCAAAACTAGAGCCCGGTTCATCCGATCCGTTCAGCTCAACGCCAAAGCGAATTCTACGCAGAAATTCATCAATTCACGGCGCTCTGAGACACCGGTGCACATGAATTGCACGCGAGAACCGCTGATAACCAAGATTCGAGAGAAAAGCAGTTACCTTTACGAGAGATAGAGGGGGGGGGGAGGCTGCGCTGCGATTTCCCGAGGTAGCAGAAGCGGAGGTTTTTGTCCTCTGGTAGTTGTGCTTTCGTTCGGTTTCGTGAGGTTTCCACTTTCGCGCATGGTCCGCGCTTCTTCAGTAGTTTTTTACTCTTCTGTTTTTAAAAGAAACTGTTTGTTTATAACATTGGCCTTTGCTTCCTTATTTGTCCTGTTCAGATATAGGGGGAATTAATTATCCCACATGGTTTTTGTGACTTGCTTGACTTGACTAGCGCTAAGAAATAGGACAAAAATCAAACGAGAGATTAGTTGCGGTCTCGTGGATAGGATTAATTTAGATCTCTTCGATAGTACCCGTTTTATGAGCTTATGGCGAAAGTGGAAAGCCGTCGCGTTATTTGTTAATATCAAATTAAACCAATCCATCGGGCACTACATTTCTCGTCCTATCATGCACTTCTATGCTATTGAAAAATTAAGAGAAAAATTGTCATTGTTTTGTTATTAATAATTGCCAAAACGAATTCAGAACAAAGAAAAAGAATGTTACCGTATAAGTTTTTGGATAACTATCGGCGTGAATCTGTGCACACGGGAGAGTTTGTAAAAATAAAATCCAAAGTGAGTCGGAAAAGGAGAACCGTCTTTTTTTTTTTTATCTAACTTTTACGTGGTAACTTAAAAAATCCAATAGTGAATTATCACGTATTAAGTATGACTGTATGAGAAAGATATTGGTGAAATGGGTTGGCAGCTTAGCACGTGTGAGGGGAGATTTTCACCTCGAGGCCTGCACGTGCGATGTGGATATGACGCGAGGAATCTTACCCAAATGAATTCGGACAGATTCTATTGTATTGTTTATTTGATCTTATATTATAAACCCATTGCGTGGCCTCCGCAATCTCCCCCTTCCGACCAATTAGATTCTGCCATTGCTTCTTCTTCTTGTTTTTTTCTGTCGAAATAGATAAGCTCGTTCATTAAGTTCACATATTAATAAAACAAGGATAACGACATAAAATGGTATAAATGATCCATGAACTTTGGTCCAATCTGCAATGTAATCCCCGAACATTTAATTCGTTCGATATAGTTCTTGAACTTTAATCCAATGTGCAAGTGATCCCTGAAATTTTAATATGTTCAATGTGTTCCCTAAATTTTTTGTACATGTTCAATATAGTTCATGAACTATTTAATTCAAAATTAGCGACAACATTGAACATTTTAATATAGTTTATGAACTATATTGAACATGTACCAAAATTTCGGGGACTAGGGACAACATTGCACGCTGTGTTAAAGTTCAAGGATCTCGTCGAACAAATTAAAATTTCAAAAGAACCGTTCGTGTCGTTTTCCCTAATAAATAATTTAAGTTGTTTAATCATATGGGCCTTGCCCGTTCGGACCGTAGGAAAAGCCCAAAGTCCGAGGTGGGCCCGGATCATCTTCTTTCATCGCCCGATGAAGCGAACCGAGATTCCGGATTCCGCGTGGGGCATCGATCCAATCGGGACCGTCCATTTCAAACGACGGTTACCGTCCGTGTGTAGGGAACCGCCTACTTCTCTCTTCCCTCCAAAACCAGCCTTTGCCTTACGCCGCTAATGCTACCCAAAAATTAAAAAATTCAAAAAAGAAACCACAAAAATTGAATTTCGCATTATTTATTCCGGCTTTTTACATGCACGCGGAACTCTCTTTTTCTCGTTACATGTGATAATTTCATTCGGTTAAAACTTTTTTGAGTACGAATTTCCAATGTACGCTATCTCTCTTGGTTGATAATTGTTGCCACTCGACCAATCTTTTCGTATGTTTTGAATCAATTTTGGTCAAATGAGACGTAGAGTGTCGATGTTAGACGGTGATGGGCATGACCATACTTCTCCATTCGCTTTTACACAACTTTTGCGAGTCTTAAGAAATTGGAGGCATCTATGGTGTAAAACCAATAGTTAGTCTATTTTTTTTTTGGTAAGGACCAATAGTTAGTCTATTTGAGGTTTCCTTTGTGTGAAATGATCGAATTCGAACGTGCCAATTGTCGAGTATGCTAATCGAGACGATTAAGAGTCCACGACCTTGGAAACATGCAAAAAACTAGCGAGGAGACCGTCTGTCTTCTACTCGAATATGAGCAAAAGTTTTAATCAAGACCAAAAGTTCACGATTTGTCCGACCGATGTGGTCCAAGACCTAATTATGCGAGGACAATTTAGCAAGATAGATTTTGGTCAAATGAGACGTAGAGTGTCGATGTTAGACGGTGATGGGCATGGCCATACTTCTCCATTCGCTTCTACACAACTTTTGCGAGTCTTAAAAAATTGGAGGCATCTATGGTTTAAAATCGATAGTTAGTCTATTTGAGGTTTCCTTTGCGTGAAATGATCGAATTCAAACGTGCCAATTGTCAAGTACGCTAATCGAGATGATTAAGAGTCAATGACCTTGGAAACATGCGAAAAACTAGCGAGGAGACCGTCTGTCTTCTACACGAATATGAGCAAAAGTTTTAATCAAGACCAAAAGTTCACGATTTGTCCGACCAATGTGGTCCAAGACCTAATTATGCGAGGACAATTTAGCAAGGTCCAAAGCTGGGCTGGGGTGATCTGATCGTTGATCTTGACTCTGCGTTGGATCCATGTCCATGGAAAAAGTTCATTGATGGTCCATTGGGGTCTCTTTCTTGAATCAACATTCACGAGTGATCCATTCAGCTTCTTTGACTAGTCTCCGAAGAGCAACGTCAAAATTTCATCTCATGGTCCAAATCATTTGGGTAGTCCAAAAAGTAAACACCTTCTCGAGTTTTAAGTTTGGTCAATATCGTCCCCGGACAAACGCGTCGATTAGGGAATTCATCTCCTTTTCGGGTTTAACCAATTGATGAAATAAAACCTTTCTTTTTCTTTGTAGGAATTGATGTCATCGGCGGGAATCTAATTAAAAAATTAGTCTCTACCCTTTTTCTTCGGAAGTAGTTATAAGATGCTATCTTCCGCCATATATCCAACTAAGTTCACCTTCCCGATCTGACGAAAACTATATACTCTCCTACTTTTGCCTTTGAAAATAATGTCTTTTTCATCGACTATATACTTTTCCTGTATAATCCAATGCTTGATTTCTGTCCACGACGTTCTTTATAAGTTAGTTGGAGGGGATCTGGATTGAATGGTTTTTGTCTTTACGAAACTTGGTGTCTAATCAAATGGTTTAGAGAACCTGTCAATTTCCCCTTCCGAATGTTGTCTCTTATCTCACTCGATTACCACTCTTGACACTCATCCTAACCCCCTTCGGTTGATTCACTTCTAATCTAAGACCAACTGCCCCTGCCTCCATCAAGTTAGGAGTCATGCCCCTATTTGTAAGTTCGAAATGTACTTGTACCCACCTGCTTTAAAATTTGGCATACTTCGACCAAGATCGTCTAACAGCATCTCTAGAAATGTACTTCCTCTTGAACCCGACCCGAGAAAAGTTCGCGCCGAGATGAAAGGCACGCGCGCGCAATTTGATGCTCGATAGTCCTCGAAAAACTAAAAGGGCCGATGCCATCGACTGCTAATAATTGGCAATAATGGGCCCATGCCGCAAGGACAGCTTCGGTCCTCAAATGGGAAGCAGCATTGGATTCTGCTACACATGTAATCAACGAAACTTGTCGTAGCTGTTCTTTCGAATGTTGGTGAAACTTGGGCGCTCTTAATTATGTCTGTCGCCCATTCATATCGTCATCTCCAAACTCCCGAAGAGCGTGATGTTTTAGCCGATGATGGCGGATTAGAAATTTTGCTCATCATGTATGTCCTCGAACAGCTCAAATGCCTACTTGAAAAATGCAATTGTACTGTAAAATGTGCCGTAGGTTTGACTTTTTGCGTTAGAAACAAAGATGGGTCACCTTAAAAATTCTTGCTCTTTTGGTGATAAAAATCAAAAGGGTAGCTGGGGAAGATGTCCGTGCCTACTCCTGCATTTATTGGTTTCTTGGTCAAACAGTGACGACGTGCGAAACTCAAGCTGGCCATTTTTAATGTCCAGCAGCTATTTTTGTCTAGTGGTGCCGCATTGTGAACACCCTATGCTGTCTCTACCAAATTCACGACTTGATCTGTCATAAACAGTTCGTGAAACTAAACATTTCATGCGGTAGACCTTGTCTTCTCTGCCTAAGTAATAACAAAGTAATAACGGTAAGAGTAGGGAAAGCTAATGTAACGAGTCACATCGTCTCGATCGTGCCTATTCAAAAGAAACTTATGATCTAATTATGCTCGATGGTTTTAATAAGAAATAATGACATAAGTGGTTCATAAACTTTGACTTACTGTGTAATATAGTCATTTAATTTTTAATTTATTCAACGTGGTCCTTCAACTTTTGGTACATGTTCGATGTAGTCCCTGAATTATATGAAAATGTTCAATATTGTTCTTTTATTAATTCAAGATCGAGGACAACATATAATCTCGGGACTAAATCAAACATGTACAAAAAGTTCAAGGACCATATTAAACAAATTAAAAGTTCATGGACCATATTGAACAAATCAAAAGTTCACGGATGCATTGCATATTGGGCCAAAACTTAGTGACCATTTGTATCATTTTCCCCTCTGATATAATGTCGTGTTCCTCCGAGACAAGCTAATCACATATACGTGCCTTATGAGCAATGCCTCGCAAACATGCGCCACGATCGAGCAAAATTCTTTCTCTTCCCGGAACAAAAATTCGTTTGGGGTGCGAATGACAACATTTCTCTTCCTCGGCCCTATTTTTGGCTAGAAATCTATTTCTCTTTCTCGAATAAGTTTTTAAGCAAAAAGTAGCGTTTGATAACGATACAAAATTTCTGTTCCCGCCTGTCGGTGAGCGACAAGCGGCGGATGGCCGGCAAACAGCAGCTGCGGGCGGCGAACGGCTGCGGCAGTGGACGGAACGGCGACGGTGGGTGGCGAATGGCGATAGTGGGTGGTGAGCAGTAGCGGGCGGGAGGCGAGCGGCGGCCACCGAGTGGGTGGCAAGAGTGAGCAATAAAAGAGAGTTGTTATTTTTGTTTTTGTTCCAAAAATATAAAAGTAAAAAATTTTAATTTCTCATTTCTGTTCCAAATCTATTTCTGAACCAAAATTTGTTTCAAAATATAAAAAATTGAAATTATTTTACCAAACGGATTTCTGTTTCAAATATGTTCTCAGGAATAAAAAAATAGAAAAACAGAGAAACAGAATGATTATCATTCACGCCCTTGATAGCCCTTTTTTAAATATCTCCCTCGTATGCTCTTTTCCATTCATTGACGGGTGGCGGCGGGAGGTGGCGGTCTGCAAGGGTGGCGGCTGCGGGCGGCGAAAAGCGAAGGCGAGCGACAAAAGGAGTTTTTATTTCTCTTTTTGTTCCAGAAACAGAGAAGTGAAGAAATTTTACTTCTCATTTCCATTTTAAACATATTTCTGGATTAAAAATTTATTTATGAAATAGAAGAATGAAATTGGATTACCAAACGGATTTCTATTCCAAAAATGTTTCCGAGAACGAACTTAAAAATTGATCTTGCCAGAAATAAAATAGTTATCACGCACACCTCTTGGTAGCAAAAAACAGTGGACAATTGTAATAAAATATAATAATAATAATAATAATAATAATAATAATAATAATAATAATACGAGTTCTCTTTCTTCTTCTTTTTTTAATAATACGAGTTCAATAGGAACCGTAAGTTCAACGGCGCAAGTTAGCTGTGGCTCATCTTTGAAAAGTCGTGATCGGAGTCGCGGTCTCCCCCGCGCGTCTTAACTTCTCTTCTTCAACTTGTACGCGCCTCTTCTCTCTCCCTCTCTCTCTCTCTGCCTCTCTCTCTCTACGCGCGATGTTCGGTCGCCGGACACCAAACGCCGACGTACGTTCGACGCCGGACCGGTTCCCGCCGCCCTCCCCGAGCTCCACCTACTCCGCCACCCCCTCCACCGTCTCCAGCAAGTCGGGATCCGGCAGCAACCGCGTCGGGGCTGCCGTCCGGTCGATCGCCGGCGCCTTCTCCGGCTGCTTCATGCCGCCGGAGCCCGACGGCTCCAAGAGCTACGGAGTCTCCGATGAGCTGAGAGCTCGTTCAGGTGAGTGAACTCGCTGTTCTTATGCAAAATGAATGGTCGAGAGAGAGAGAGAGAGAGTTCGTCAAATGCGGCTGACTCTGCGAATCACCGTCCTTCTGGAAGAAGATGCCCTCGACATCGCGTAGGCACCGTTCTCAATCTGATAACACGACTTGACTTGCATGTTTTTGCTTGAAATGATTCGCCGTCGCTTCATTTTACTCAGTTTCTGAAATTGACATGTTATGGCGCTGACTCGGTGTAGCTGTTACAATAGTACGATTTTTCCTACTCGCTAGTTTAGGTTTTTCTTCTTCTTTATGTAGTCTTTGTTTGGATACTGAGATGGTGTTATGGGATTCAGAGTATGTTGTCGCGGACTTGTGTTCTAGAAACTGAAAACGGATTCGAAAGCGAACTGAGTGTTCTGGTAAACTGAAATCTCTTGCCTGGCTTGTGAATTGTATGGACTTTGACTTTGTGAGGAACGATTGGAACAGTCCTGAGATCCTTGGCCTAGTTGTTATGCTAAAGCAAATTTCCACTGCTGTTGTCGTTAGCGGCGTCAAACGCATCGAGAAGTGGCAGCGAGAGAAGCCGCGGTTCGACTCGCGGGATATATACGAGTTCGTATAATTCGACGCACGATAGGGAGCCTGGAAGCGTGACATTCACGATGGAAGAATTACTTGCAGCCACCAGGAATTTTTCCCCCTCATTCAAGATTGGGCAGGGTGGTTTTGGGACAGTCTACAAGGGCAGACTTGCGGACGGAACAGTTGTCGCCGTGAAGCGCGCTAAAAAGGTCCGTCAATGTTCACGTTGATGAGTCTACTTTCTAGGTCTATCCCTCTTACCAGGTCATGAAATTATCAATTATGCTGTTTGCGGGGAAGAAAAGAATGTTCATTTCTGTTGTCTGCAGAGTGTGTATGATAAGCATTTGGGTGTGGAGTTTCAAAGCGAAATTCGCACGCTGGCACGGGTGGAACATTTGAATTTGGTCAAGTTCTATGGATACTTGGAGCATGAAGATGAAAGAATCGTTGTGGTGGAGTACGTTCCAAATGGAACCCTGAGGGAACATTTGGATTGTGAGTATATCCCCTTCCCATGTCCCTGTCTATGAGGATGTTTTTAGTATGCGACAGTCCGCTCGAATGCTTAAAGTATGTTTGGAGAACTAATGCAGGTATGCACGGTAGCATTCTTGACCTCGCTGGAAGGCTAGATATTGCTATCGACGTAGCTCATGCCGTAACCTACCTTCATATGTATACAGGTTGGTGCAATGTGGGAGGATGACCTGTCTGGTTTGGATAACATGCCTTGCTTCCTGTCTGTTAGAAATTGTATAAATCAGACTCTGGTTTCTCATGCAGATCATCCGATTATTCACAGGGACATAAAGTCCTCCAATATTCTTCTCACTGAAAACTTTCGAGCAAAGGTAGCGGACTTTGGTTTTGCTAGACTTGCAGCTGACAGCAATTCTGGTGAAACTCATGTTTCGACTCAAGTAAAAGGAACGGCAGGCTACTTAGATCCAGAGTACCTAAGAACCTATCAGCTTACGGAGAAGAGCGATGTATACTCATTTGGAGTGCTATTGGTGGAACTGATCACCGGAAGGCGTCCGATCGAACCAAAACGCGAACTTAAAGAACGGATAACTGCACGATGGGTGTGTTCCTCTTTCCTTACACTCTCTAAAAAAAGATGTTAATCTTCTACAGATGAGAAAGCGCATAACCATGTCTATATTACCTCTCTGGATATGTGAAATCTTACTGAGACAGAAACTGGATAAATGAAAAAGGACTAGATTTCATGTTGATCTTGTCTGACTTTGGATCTGGACAAGTGCAGGCCATGAAGAAATTCACCGAGGGAGATGCCATATCAACCCTGGACCCTAGGCTTGAAAGAAGCGATCCGACTAACTTTGCCCTGGAAAAGATTCTCGAGCTGGCTTTGCAGTGCCTGGCTCCGAACAGGCGGAGTAGGCCAAGCATGAGGAGATGCGCAGAGATCCTGTGGGGCGTGCGCAAAGATTACCGAGAACTTTCACCACAGGACTTCCGTTCGTCGTCTCGTTCCGAAAGGAGCTCTTTAGCGCGGGAAGAATAATGGCATATGTCATCGCATTCTTCACTGCGATTGATATTGCTCAGAGCTGTTTTTCGCTCAAACCAGAGGGAATCCTTTGTTTTTACAATACCATCCGATGGCGCAGCTAGATAACCGTGGAATTGGGAGCAGCTTTGAAGAACCAATTGATACTGGTCAAGCATAAGGTAAATAATTAGGAGGAAGCCAATCGTTGTTGATTTCTACAAAATTATTTTGGGTGGTTAGCCATTAAAGGAAACCTGGTTCAAACCTGCTTTTTACAGGCCTTGTGTATCATATGGAGGTGCGCTTTGTTTCCTCCCGATTTTATGGTTCTGCGATTTTCATCTTATTATATATATAGAGAACTGTAGTATGCTTTCCATCGTTTTGATTCCGCTGCAGTTCTTCCCCTTTTTGTATGTTAATGGCTTTTCGAGGACACGTGATTGAGCCTAATTGGGTAAAATAAAATAACTTTATGCCGTGGTACATCTCTGTCCCCTCTCTCAACGCCGTCATCTCCTTTGACAAAAGCTGCATGACTGTCCATACTTTGGTCTCCATTTACTTGCGGGCTTTTCGTTAGTCTTAACATGAATAACTAGAGGTGGGAAAAAGGGGAAACAAACACAGGCCTTAGTCAGATGCTTCTTTAGTCTTGATAGCATATGTAGCGACAAGGGAGGGCTGCTTGCTAAAATTAGGCAATACGTCGTTTTCAATCTCTGGGGTCGGAACATTTTTGTAAGCCTAGTGGTTGCGGGGGAGTCGTTGCTGCTGCTGCTGTTACTCAGCGAAGCAGGGTTCAATGATGACAACCAGCACATTGTGGCCCCTATATTTCTTCAAGGCGCACAAATTGCCATATAATAGTGTACAGGTCCATTTTGCCTGCTTAAAGTATCACGGGAAGCTATTAACTACCGTGTTGGTTCGGGAAGAGGCGAACGAACCCGAACCTGCGGTGTACGAATTGATATGGCCACAAAAATGAGGAAAAAGAAAAGCCGACAATTTGAGCTTAATGAGAAAAGGGATGCTTGAACGAGTTGACGTATTCGCTAGTGAGAGCATATTCGGCTTCATAAGTAAAGAGAGTAACACTTACATAGGAGCTTTCACTTAGGAAAATAATGGTTTCTATTTTGTTTTCTTAACACAGGAACCTTATTGCTTTTTATTTGTTTTGGTACAATCAACATAAATGCTGTCCACCTTCTAAGAAGAAAGAACACTACAGGAGAAAGGAAACAGTAAACTTGTATACCTATACAAGGAACTCGCCGGATGATCTAATCCATCTTCGCTCGAGCATCCTAATCCGCTCCATAATTTACAATTTTCTGTCTGCAACGAGTCTCTCTGCTATGCCACCCTACAAAAGCCCCCCAAGCTTGGAGCTCGGAGAGAGGTCGTCCTAAGCCGGTAGAATGGTGAGACGCAACTTACCGAGTCCCTCATCCTAAAGCTGGATCGGATACACTCCCCACAGCGACAACTCCAAAACAATTAAACAGCTTACCCTGTTATACTCGATTTTCAGCCTCTACTCTACTCTGGAGAACGAATCCTGCCTTGTTAATTCATAATTTGCATCTGGTGGCCTTTGATCATCCCCATTTATCGGAGTTGCTTTGGAACAAAGGAAGAAGAAAGACGCTGTGTATATTGTGACATGCCAAAGACTGCAATAGAATTAAGCAAATGAATGAGAGAGAGAGAGAGAGAGAGAGAGAGAGAGAGAAGAGTGAATTGGTCTTTTATATACCTGTGCCAAATCCAGTAGCTTTCGCTGGTTTCTAGCTTCCAGCTTATTCCAGCCATGGTCAATGCTACAAAACCTGCTATAAGGAAGCCCCAACGGAACCGCCGAAAAAATGTCTTGACTAGGTTGTGCAGCCATTCCCTGATAAACTGCCACCTGTCATAAAAAATTACCATCAGTTTAAGAGAAAAATACATAAACTCCTCTTGTATTTGAAAGAGCAAATCGAAGATCATATCTCACGGCCTAGGCCACAGAATGCATAGGCGATGATTCCATCAAGCAAACATCTTGAACTCAATTTCTCTAAATATGATTAATAATACTGGAGATGACATATGATGGAAACATATGGCGACTGCGACAAAAGGTAACAGTTATAAAAGCAAATTTATTATGATGGCTAGATTGGACTACGAAAAGTAGGGTGATCGAAACTATTATTTGGCAGCAATCATGAATAACTGCAGACTCTAGTTTTACCAGGATAAAATATTAGCAGCCATAGAGAAATCTGCTTAATCTTTTGTGAAGATCTACAAATTCAAGTATGAGTTTTCGTTGATAAGGAAAATTTTCATTTGGAATTCCACAGTCTATACCATGCACTGACGGTGGAAACACCCATTTCCACAAGCGGCCCTTATCTAGTGACATCTACATTCAGGAGATGATAAGTAGTAGCGTTAATCAAAAGATGCAGATATCCCACTTGATAAACACCATCTGCATAACCACTGTCTTACACTTCCGGCGTTAATTACAAAAATCATCTTTCTTTTTATTTTCTGACAAAAAACCTGTTTGCTTGCCATGCCATGTACAGGAAAAGTATTTTTCGTTTTGGTAGTCTTTAATGAACTTACGGCATGGATGTCTATGAGCACCCTCATCCATATTGGAGAACATCGAAACCATATTGAAGCTCACCTGTCAAGCATGTTCAAACAGAATCCGAAGGAAAATGAAAGCGACCTATATTTGGTGGATAACTCTATTAACCATCCAACTAGGAGACCCAAAGCTCCAATTGCTATCACAAGGATAATATTCGCTGACCTGCACAGTTGACATAATAAACTAACTCTGGAATAAGTTGGAAATAACTAAATTGAGTGCACAGCTTTGCATACCGGGTTGCTTTGGTTATAGCCATGATTGCCGTAAGGATAGCAACGGCTGTATGAATGGTCCTTTTATGCACTTCATCAATAGTAGTCAGGTACACAAAAGTGCTCACAACAGCCATGAAAGAGAGCCAAAAGTCCATGAACTGAAACCAATCCACTTCTGTGATGAGTCACGGTCACAAGGGCAATTACTCCAGATTATGACGCAGTCATGAGTTTGTTATGAAGGCAAGACTACACTCAGAGAACCATTTTGAACAGGTGAAACTTAATTGTAAGTTTTTGTTCTGATATTATGTAGGTATTCTCAGTTTTAGATTGTATATTTTGCTTATCCAAGTTATAGGTTTGTTGGGACAAAATTCTAGAGTCCGCCCTCATATAATGACGCAATTTAAAGAAACTACGGTATCTGAAAAGTACTAGAAAACAGAAAGCATTGTGTTCATAGGAACATCAAAGCTAAACTAATTTCAAAACAAAAATTATACCTGCAAGACACTAAAGGATAATGCACACCAGGTGCCAACGTCACAGGCATGATACAATCCACTCGAAATTCCACTTGATGTGAAGAGCACCCATTCTGCAAAAGCCTGCATACAAAATGAACTAATCAAGAATGCTTGAAAGGCTTTCACATCATTGTATCCAATTCATCGTTCTAGAAGCAATGTAATTACTTTTTTCAGTGTCTAGAATTTGACCATCTATCTTAGCTAATAATCTAATGCTTAGTCTGATTAAGCGAGCTGTATGCTAAAGCTATATAAGAAAATTATATGGTAAAGCTGCCAGAGCAGAGACTTTGCCATCAGAGTATCAGACAAGAGGAGCAGGACTGACAAAACCTCTTCAGAATTCCAATGTCCACCTAAAATTACCAGAAATCTTGTTGTAGTAGTTGAATACTTGTCCATCCAAAACCACTCGCTACCAAAGGAAACTAAATAGGCTAGATAGGATAGAATTGAGTACCTTCTGCCGCAGTGCCCAATAGGCAGGAAGAATAGCAGCAGCATTTGATGCAATCAAAAATATAGATTGCAGAACATGTCCTACATCGGTTCATCAACTAGTAAATTACTAGATCAAGTACATGATAAAATGAAACACATCATAAATTTCAGATGCTATCAGTATTCTAAGTGCAACAACCCATCATGACGTTCTATATAATCTAACTGCAGTAAAACAATTATACTGATTAAAGTTGGTGAAAACATGACCAACTTTCATGTACCTTATGTCTATCCATTAATATAAAATATGACATCATGGTTTAGGCTTGAAGTTGTCAGCCACAGTCACAAGAGTACCTCTGGGTTTCACTATAAGGCCGTGGTCGCACCGACAAATGTGGGAATTGAAGCGACTAAAGTATTTGGATTTACGTAATGGATTTCCATATTAGAGACTGGTATGAGGTACCTAATGAGGTGTTCAGCCAGCATATATTGCCAAGATATGTCTTGCAATAGAAGTGCTATACCTACTCATGCTTCAGGTTCTTAGCAACCCCGGTGTTAGACCAGAATGATATTCTTAACTTGCAGAGTGCTTGGCTTGATCTGTGTAACTAGCACTATCAATCACAAATGGACACCTTCAGTAGTGACCTTGTCAATTAGGTTTTCTAATGATGATGTCCCTCTCAGCTAATTTGAGATGGTGACCACTTTGATAATTTCATTCTAATGCTTTTGCACTTTCGGCCAATAAAAAAAGCTATACTGCTTTGTACTTATCAAAACCGAATAAACACGCTTGTTCTGAAGTATTAAGCTGTCCTGTGTTTGCTCAAAGTTTCAAATACATGATAAAGAGAGATCACTATGTGATGCTGGAACTATATGCAACAGACCAGAAGCCAAAGTTAAGAGCACTTGTTCTTAGGGTGTACCTTGATGTGAGACAATTTCAATGCTACAATCAAAGCCACCATGATTTCGATCACAGGAGCAGAAACTGCCCAAGAAAATGTTAATGACCAAGGTGAGGAGGCATAGAATCCATATAAGTGCTCTGAGTCGACAAAGTTAGTATAACTAGTAACAGGCCGAAAGCTTTAAGTATAAGGAAAAGAACAAAACCTGTAAGTTGTCAATCCACTAGCGTCGAGAGCAGATTTGCAATCTCCATGAGATGAACATCTTCTTGGGCACCTTTCTAGTGAAAGCGACATGGTAGTCTGATCTTTGGAACTACTACTTATGACATGCCTCAGTCCAAAAGTCCAAGTCCCTTCCCTTGCATATAGGATATAGAAATCAATTTTTTCTTCACTTGAATTATACATCTTAATAAACATAGAACCATCACTGCTGCTCGTCTTGTTGGCATAATAGTAATCCCAGCTATATAGAGATGGTAGTCCACCAAATCTAGCATATATCTCGTAATTTATCTTTGTATCCGACGAAAGCCGGACATGAATGTTTCCACCAGCTGCACCGCGAGGGATGTCCAAAAGGAAGTACGTCCAAGTATTATTTAATTCACCAAATGAGATGTTGCTTATAAGGGGCTCAAGAAGGAAGTTTGCCGAATTGGAAGACATTTTTTCGCTGACTGGCAAATAGTAGGATTCAAAAGGGACTGATATCCTCAGAAATGTCTGCAGACAACCATTCTTACTGTGTCAATAAGTTATCCTGCGTGCACGTTGTTCAAATCAACAGAAATCAAAGATTGTAGCACCAGCAAAGTTAATCATTGGTTAAACTATTTAATTATTTTGAGATACCAACATCGCACCGGCATCACAATTTCTGTATTTTAATGTCCCTAGTGCTTCTTACCCCAATCAGTGACATGATACCCATTTAATGTCCTTTCATGCAACCAATAACGAGTGAGTGCAAAGACATTGTGCTTATACCATCGTGTTCAAATTCTCAAAATCATTCCGAGAAAAAGTTCAACGACAGTCACATTGAATGAACAAAGATAAATCACTAGCAACTGGACATATTGAGAGAGAGAGAGAGAGAGAAAGACATCAGCCTCACCTGAAGCACGTACTTCTCCCACATACAGCTTGGTCCAGCCTTGGCTACAGGACATTCAGCTATTTGCACTTCCAAAGAATAGCATACTGTCATGTCTGATACCTTGATTCCACCTTGATCTTTCGAGAGGTTAGCTGATAAAATCGTTATGAACCAACGACCAAGCCTGGGTGACTGAATAACGAAAGGTTCTCCATCAAGAGTACCAGAATAATCATGAAGTACTGCTGAAGCTATTCTGCCATACCGGGCATAACACAACAAAGTTAAATTACCAACACCCCCTGTGTTACTTGGAGATGTTGAGCTAAAGCTGAGATTTGTCGCGATGATGGACAAGTTTTCTGACATATCCATTATGTCCACTGTGTAAACTTTCACTTCATCGTTCCTAAAGCAATAAGTCTGAAAAGAACTTTTGCATGACAGCACACTTCCCCTCGTCTGGTTATAACCGACATATGGGAGACTTCCTGTGATATTAGAGCTGTCCAAAGGAGTACAGGAAAGCGAGTCAACCGTCTGGTTGCAATTCTGACCCCACATTCCAGAGGCCTTACAACCTTCAACACTTACATTGGCACTGAATGAGTAGGCTGGTCCTCGGACAATCTGCAGTACCAGGTTTAATTGCACATCATTGATTGATTATGGCAATATCATCGAAAACTGGAGTGAAAATTTTTAGGGTTACTTTTTTTTTTTTTTTTTGGCTTTTGCTCTTGCTTGGGGAGAGGGGGTAGGTGCAAGGAGAGGGGTTGTTGCTATCACTTATAAGGAAAGGATGCTGCTTACCGGAAGGCTATAATAGATCTAAAAAATGTTTATGAAGGTGAACTCTTTTGTCCTATTTTACATAAGAAGTCCATACTTTACCAGGGAACACGACCACATTGAGTACCTTTCTCTACCTATGGGATTCCTGATGGAACTTGGTACAAGGTTCAACTGTTCCAGCAGAAATTAGAGTCTTTAATTATTTTCCGGTACTCTAAGGCATAACTATGTCGGAGGAGAACAGGAAATATCAACAAGACAGCAACAGCATTGGCCCTCTACCACCTCTGTAAAGAACAGTGGGCATCTAAGTTTCTACAGTCCATAACGCAATCTCATCATCTGATCTTTATCGAGTTAAATTTCAGTTTGCATCTTAAGGTGTTCTCATACGAATATATTTTAATCAGAAAATAAATCTGTATGTCATCTTTTCTAAACCTACTTCTAGCTGACGAAATGCTGACATATACAAAGTACCATCTTTGAATGTGTCCATAACAAATTATATAAGACAGAAAGGTGAAAAAAGAAAAAAGAACAGAGGATCACCATCTTTGATTGTGTCCTCACAGCTCCAACGCCATTGAAAAGACCATAGTACCATACACCTGAGGATATCTGAACAGAACAAGATAAGTTGATTCTACCAACTATAGCAAACCAGTTACCCATTTTAAACTACATGTATACAGATGCATATGTGCATGTAATATGAAATATTGGAAAACCCATGCAGAATATGGCTAAAATAAAGAGCTGTCACAAAAGAAAGTGCAGCTATGCTTTTATTGAACAGAAATCTGCAATTTAAGTGAAAAATGCAATGTGAAGATAACATGTAATAAACCTGCTCGTTAGTTAACCTAATGGTTATGTTTTTCTGCATAGGAAAGCACTGCTCCACATTCTGCAGTCCTTGTATCCTTTCAACAGATTGATTCGACAATGATCCTAAAACTGCAAATAGAAGACATAGCAAATCCATAAAAGAAACATAAACACATTAACCATAAGGAAGATGAAGGAGAAACAAGTAGACAGGAAACAGGATTGGGAGTCTAATCCTATATAAGGCATGTGAAAAAACCAGTCACAATTGAAGACTCAGTGTGAAGAAACTTAGCATGCAAGAATCGGGGTTTCATGAAATCTAATTGATGAGTATCTAAAATTGCTCAAAAGACATTTTCCGCCCAAATTGTCAAGCTCGCATTTACCTAATCCATTTACTGAAGTGTTGGAGACATCTGGAAGAGGAGGACTGCCATCTCTAAAGCATATCATGGGCAGAGTGCTTTTGGGAACTTGTTCTATGCTCTCTATTCCCTGCTCATAACATATATGCAGGAGTGAATTCAGGTAAGAAACAGCTGTAGTTAAAAACAAGAAAAAAAAAATGCATGTTCTGACATTTGGCAAACCAGCTCACACCCTAAAACCTGCCCTTAGAGGAAGAATGATGAATCACAAAATTGAAATATAATTATGGAATTTGAAAAATTAAATACAGACTAATAGTTGAAACTCAAAAGGAGTTTGTAGCCTTTTCTTTACAGTTTAAAACTTTGAGCGAGTGACTGTATACTGATAAATCAAAACAAATCAAGCACAGAGATTTGAATGATTGGAACAAACTTCAAAGAAGGAAACCAAGCCGGTTCATTTAACTGCTCTACTCATGCTTCTCAACTTTGATTGGCACACTTACAAGGTCTACATCTGATTCCAACGTGATGGACAGTGAGGAGAACCACGGTGGTAAATCAACTGAAACAAGAAACAATACAAAACATAAAGAAATCTAATAAAGTGTTTTACTGATAGCAAACATTCAATTACACAACAATAAAAATTCCTGTATAAAACATGTATAATAAGTAATTAAATCTCCCTTCAACATTTCAAAGTCACATTTGACAAACTCAAAAGAAAAGGAGCAAAAGCTGAGCCATCTTTTTCATCAGATTCAGCATCTCAAAGCAAGAAAGCACAGTGATCCAACTTTAGAGTGGCTCTTTAGTGAATTACAGAGGGAAACATTTGGCAGAGCATAGTAAGTTCACTAGAATTGTGTGCTCCAAAATGTTGAGAGCACAGAGAAATTTATAGCTTAACTCTCAATTTTTTTAAGAAAGGTCTGACATTCTTAAGATGCAACTGTTTAGCATGTCTCCTCATCATAAAAGATGCAACCCAACCAGTTAGTCAAACTCGATCTTGAATTGTGTTGGATCTCCCTAGTTCATCGGATATAGTACTAAATACAGGGTAATGCAAGTGTTTGAGATTAACACTTCTGTTCTAGCTTATGAAGTAACGCACAATACCACACACGGAGTGTGTCTGCCTAACCAAATGCCATGTCTGTCTTATCTATAGACAGTTTGTTGATTCAACAAAGTGCTTGGAAATGAGCAGATTAATTAAGACCAATCAGAAAAGACTTTGATATTTTCAGGTTAAGGACCTAAAATTGGACATGAACGTTGGGCGCAACTTTTATCTTCTTCAGTCATCCATATAGGCTTTCAAATTTGACTATGCATATCAATATAACAGAATAAAGGCAAGCATTTCTATTGAAAAAAATCAAAATCTAAGGCTCCGTTTATTTCGCGAAAAATAAATGATTTTGAAAACATTTTCCAAAAAAATGATCGCTCGTGTCTCTTGAAATAATTAGTTAATAAAAAATATTTTCATTATTGACAACAAGTTCAAATATTTTCGGAGTCAATGAAAATATTTTGCATCGTTTTTCGAAAAATATTTTCTAAATCGTTCATTTTTCGCGAAAAAACCGAAGCCTAATATTGAAGAATAACGTTAACACCAACATCAATCACGCAGGCAGAAAGATTACAGGATCTACGACCAATAGTCCAACCGTATGAATTTCTTTGTATCAGAAGACGCTGAGCTTGTGAAGGTAGGCTTGCCTACCTATGGAGCGGGAGAGACAACAGTGATTATCCATGACAACTCCAAAAAGGAAAGTAGAAACTACGTACTCATCACAATCTACAGGACAAATGATACGAAACAGAGAGAGGCCGCAACGAGACGCGCGTAAAGCTCAGAAAGTCTCTTCAACGTAAAAATACGCACAAGAAAACCATCACAAGCAATCACTCGCGAACCGCAAAAGCCGCCGATCGAAACGATCGAACGCTCGGAACCTCGACAGATCACTCGCGTCCGATCGCACGCCGCAACGCACCTCTGATGTAACGAAGGTCGTAAGGCCGGAGCCTGGTCTCGGGGTAGCTGAAGCTGGAGACGGTGAAGGTGTTCGCGTCGCCGTTGTCGAGCGAAGCGCAGCACGCGGACATGCACGCGATCAGCGCGAGCAGGAGCCCGACCGGAGCGCGCGAGGAAGACGGCGGGGCGACCGACCGGGGGGCCATTGCCGGCGATTCGCGGAGCGGGGCTGCTGCGTGCGGAGCCGGGAAGGCGACGGGGATTTTAGGAGAGAATCGGGAATGAAACGACGAGCGAGGAGAGGTTTTTGGTACTAATTACCGGGGATTCTTAATTTCCTTGAATTAATTATTCGCCCTTAATTTAATTATTTCAGAGGGAGCGAGGGATTTTTTTGTATTTTTAAATATTTCAGTATTGGCGAGAGCTTTTGACTGCTGTTTTCTCTCGCGGAGTCAATGCGCCACGCGCCGATAGAGAGTGGCTACCCACGCGATCCGACGTGGAAGCCGCGAGGGAGCTGCTATCGGCGCGTGGGAGATAACCGAGCGGAAGTGAGAGTATGGTTTGCGGAAACCTGAAAAGTGGCTTTTTCTTGCATTATTTTATCAGGAAAATACAAGACGGATGATGGCGGCGAATTTTCCCTCGGGGCACTCGGGAATGTTTTTTTATTTTTTATTTTTTTTTAAATTCGGGGAGATTAATTAAACTAAATTATCTGCTGACTTGACTCACGAGCGACGACCGCCACTTCAATTCCGCTTTTCTCAAATCTTGGTATCGACCTAACACCGTGTTTCATCTGTACTCTTATGCACCCGGTTTTCATTGCTAGTCCCGCTCGTTTCACGAGATCTAATATTAAAAAGAATTAATTATATCGCCAAAAATAATTAATTCATCGAATATATTTTCATTACCGACGATAATTTATGTCTAAAAATTTTCGTAAATGATAAAAATTTCTCTCATTCCTTCATTTTTGTAAGTGATATGAACGATTTTTTTTATAAAAATATTTTTTTGACTCCGTTTGTCTCGCGGGAAATTAATGATTTTAAAAATATTTTCCTACAAATGAATTTCTTGTATCGCTTGAATTAATTAGTTAATGAGAAATGTCTTCATTACCGACAATAATTTATGTCCAAACGTTTTCGTGGACGATAAAAATATTTTTCTTCATTCATTCATTCATTGTTATAAGAGATATAAGTTATCATTTTTAGGTCATTCATTTTTTGCGAAACAAACGAAACCTTACTCTTACAGTGACATCACAAAGTGTATACGATGAATAGGAATTACAATATGATCTTAATAGTGGTTGTGCACACGCAATACTTGCCGACAACATGGCTAAAACTCGATAAACATTTATGCCGACGTCACCCTTCATTTCTTCTTAGCCTCATATTGGCCAAAGCTCATTGGCATTAGGGCAAACGCGGCAAGCAGAGTTTTTCTTAATACACAAAAAATGAGATGCTGGTGCATCTGTACTAAATTACGTGTACTCAATGACCGAACTACAAATTCGGACATCATTTATACATTATAATAACTCGAGAGTCTGAAAAATAGCCAAAGTGATAAAATGATTAGGCGCGTTTTGAAGGTCAGATATATCAAGATCCATTGCAATCGGATCCATGCGGCTTTATGTTTGAATTCTACCCACGATCTTGCTCGATCGCATGCTCGATCCGCCACTTTCTCGAGCGCAAAAAAAGCCTTTTTTTGTAACGAAAACGAAAAAAAAAAAAAGGGATAAAAAGGAAACGAGGGTTGGTCTGCTTGCTACATCCTAGAGTCGATATCATGCTTAGTTAAAACTAATTTAGCTGCATGATTGCCACGAAGCCAATATCACATCCCCATCATATCTTTTTTTTTCTTTTGATCTTGCCCTCTCTTTCCGGTCCCTTCGGTCATATCATAGTCTTCTTTACAATAAAAAGTTAGGTAAGAGGTTGTGTGGTCTTCTAGCTTTTTGTCCATGGAAGGCAAATCCCACGGGCGTGGCAATAGCATTGCCTTCGCACTCACTCCATTGGAAGTGACAAAAAAAATCATTCAACGTCGCAAATCGAAGTGAAGCACCCGTTACCCAAAATAAAAAAAAATAAAAAAGAAACTTCAGGAAGCACGGCCTCAATTCGAGCATGGGCTTGACCGGCCCAACAATCGGGCCCAGAAGAAACTTCAGGAAGCTCGGCCCGGTCTTGGTGGGCCTGGGCCTGGGCCTGCCCCGCGAATCAATTTCTCCGAACCATTTCAAGAACACCCCAAACCTTGGAGGAAAGTTATGGGGTGGTTGTGATTATTTGAAGTTATGTCAAAATTGTTCACTCCTCTAAAATGTTTAATATGAACTTTACTCGGAGAAAAGCTATAATTAAGTCTTTTACTATTGGTATTTTCAGACAATGTTGCAACTTGAAAGGGTTCAAAGTTATGAGAAATGTTACTCTCGAGCAGATTCAATTCCTCCTATTCAATTTTTTTGCCTTAGGAACATGGTGTGTATGTGCTCTTGTGATTATTGTATATGGATTGGCGAAAACTCTAATAGAAAGTGGAGATTAGTCAAGTAATCCAAAGACATCAAACATCTCATGATTGGGGAGAGAGAACTGATACAGTACAACCTACCCCAAACATTCTAAACTTACTCTAAACATTCGTAACATAACCATTTAGTGAAATGTTCACATCGAGATCTTAAGGGCCTTTCCGATAGAAAACAATCGGTGCAATTTTAGTTCTTGAACTATATTGAAAATCTTTTAGTTTTTTTTTGTCGAAAAAAATACGTTAGTTTAAGTTCTGAAAAACTATTCTCAAAATATAAAATAAAATGTCTGTTTTCAACTGTAACTACCGAATTAAACTCAAAAGGAATTGCTTTTCGAGTTTTTATTTGTATAATCCAAATATTATTAAAATAAAAAATATAGTGTAGCGATCAGGTAATATCCGGATAAGTTTCGCGCATCTTAATCGATTCAATTATCAATAAAATTTGAATCCAAAATCACAAGAAAGGCAGCAAATTGGAATGCCAATTATATTAACAGGTTTCTTTAATAACTTTCAAACACAAACAAAACCTTCCATATCTAAAATTTTTCTTATTTTGCGTTGACAAATTTTTGGTTAGGTGAAACAAATGCATGCTCAAAACAAATGGAAAATATATTTCCATTCTCATGTTTACCGAACTCAAGCAATCTCCACCGTTAAATCCTCCAATCAATTCCCCCTCAGAACACACGCGGCGCCAATCCAGCGGCGGAACGGTCAATCGCATAAAAGTCAAACCCACACGTCACCAATAACTTTGACCGTAGGCCCCCTCGTCGTAGGGAGTGGCCGCAGTTACCCACCTTCTCCTTCGTCTCCTTCTTCTTCTCGCTCTCTCCGTCTCTGCGCTCGTCCCTTTCCGCGCCTTCCTTTACTCTTTTCCGCCGTAACCGAAAACATCTCCGCCGCCGTCTCGGGGGGGTAGAAATTCGGAGCTCGCCGAGGGACGATCGGAATCCTTCTCCGAGGATGAGCGTGATCGAGTTGATCACCAGGGTCGACGCGATCTGCCGGAAGTACGACAAGTACGACGTCGACAAGCAGAAGGAGCTCAACGTCTCCGGGGACGATGCCTTCGCCCGCCTCTACTCCGCCGTCGAGGCCGACGTCGAAGCCGCCGCTCAGGTCATCATCGCGTGATAAACTCGTCCTAGGATTCGCCGCGGTTGCTCGTGGCTCGGTAGATTGTGCGGAAGGGAACCTCTCTGATCAGGTGGCGCGAATTGACGGTTTCTTTTTATTTTTTTATTTATTGTTTTGATTTTTGGGCGTAGAAAGCGGAATTGGCGGCGACGGAGAAGAGTAGAGCGACCGTGATCGCGATGAACGCGGAGATTCGGCGAACGAAGTCGCGTTTGCTCGAGGATCTCCCGAAGCTGCAGAGGCTAGCTTTCAAAAAGGTGTTTTTTTTTTTTTGTGCTTTTCCCTCTGTGTAACGGATGACATGCTTACGATTCTACGTCGACTTGCGTGGAGCGGTGAATAACGAGTGATTGTCGTCTTAAGTTTTTGAGTTCAGTGGTTCGATGAAAGTTCATCACGGTATAGAATACAGTCGGAAGGTTATATAATCGAATTTGCTGTAGGAATTTATTGGGGCGATGAAAAAATGAAAAAGGGTCCGTGGCTCTAGCTACCGAGCATGGGTTGATGGTGGTCTTGCAAAATTCTAGGGGGGGTCTTACGCCTGTCGAATATGTAGGTCAAGGGGCTTTCGAAAGAAGAGCTCGAGGCTCGAAGTGATTTGGTCTCTGCACTGAAAGATAGGATCGAAGCAATTCCAGATGGAACTGCTGGTGCATTGGGACAAAACGGCGGTTCTGCTGCTTCCACTTCACGCACGGGAATTAGATTCGACTCGACTTCAGGTGGAGACTCGCAACTTTGCCGATCGGTGCATGTGGAGAACTTGTCATTTCCTTGTCATCTTTTGATGTCTACTCATGACAAATATGTCTTTTTGCTGTGCAATGAATATTTAACAGACAGTAAATTTGGTAGCGAGTATTATCAACAATCTGAAGAGTCAGATAGGTTTAGACAGGAATACGAGATGAGGAGAATGAAACAGGTAATTCTTTGCCACTTGACTCGAAGGGAATAGTGTAATTCTTCTAGTGTATGAGAACACAGATAGGTTTCTATTTTTTATTATAATCATGTGATGTGATTAACTATTACCTCTATTCCATATTGTGCCTTCACACTTGAAAGTTTTATAATTCCATGATTCCTGAAAGCTATTCCTTACTGTTGAAGTCCTTAACTACTTATAGGCAGAGATAATTTTATGGACGTACTTCCTGAAAACCGTCTTCTGTTTTAGTTGCATATTCTTTTTTATGGTTCCCCAAGCAATAACTTGGAGAGCTACTCTGTGGTTTAGGCATCTGGCCTTTCTTATAGCTGCTGTTTTGATTCTGCCGGCTTAAAATGTTGCGGAATTATATTATACAATCCAATGGTTCATGTGTAGTGAATTAGGGGATAAATGTGCTTAGAAAACTCTACCCAAAGATTTTGTCATGTGTGTGCTTCTGATCACCTCTAAGTAAGTTCAGTGCCTAATGGACCTTAAGCTTCTAATGATTTTCTGATGGATTAGGATTTGTCTCATTGAATAATTCCAGCTGGAGTAATCTGAATGTAAAGTTTGCAGGATTTTAGAATGTGAAAATTGTGACAGAACAGATCCTTTTGGCTTCATACAGGACGAAGGCTTAGATGTCATAGCAGAAGGATTGGACACACTGAAAAACATGGCCGGGGACATGAATGAGGTCTGTTCTATTTGTCAGAACTGAAGTGAAGAACCTGTTGTTGCAAGAGTTATAGCTAATCGTCCCGTTTGGTGCAGGAATTCGACAGACAGGCACCTCTGATGGATGAAATAGATGAAAAGGTCATAATTTTTTGCTTCTTTGTTCTTTTTTCCTTATTTTGTATTGTTCTATGGAAACAGGGCCACTGTTCTCAAGACTAATATGGATTACTACTAATTAGGATGCTAGGGAAACTTTAGATGATTAGGATTCTAACAAAAGTCTTGCAGTTACAATTCCTTTCAGGTAGACTGCTTTTTCACCATGTTGTGCAGCAAGGCAGATAGAATTTGCCCCAAAAAAAAATTGGTCAATAAATTGGCCGATAGTTTAATATCCTTTAACTGTCAAGAGGTCATTTTGTCTGTTTCTTATTTGGGGATTCTCATTTTTGGGTCCGTATCACATATTCTCATTCTTCAAAGAACCTGGGCTTTGGCGCTCCCGATGACTTTTACTCCATTTATTGTGATTTCTGAATGCGGATTTAGTCTATAGTAACTTACTTTTAGATGCATATAGACTGATTTGTCTTTCCAAAAGGTGTAAATTACGGGCTTTCCACAGATGCAGGGGTTTGGTCTTTTGACAGAGGGAGTTTCTATTTTTACCAGAATACGGGGTGGTGCAGAGAAGTTTTCCCTTTGCGTTATAAATACCATATTATTTACAGCATGTCTATGGTGGTTACATATCGAAATATTTAGCTATCTGCAATATACTTGCCGAAGGAACTCGGGGACCCACCATTGATTTTCAAATAGTGCAGGTTGACAGGGCAGCCTCTGAGCTGAAAAACACTAACAGGAGGCTTAAGGATACCGTTACTCAGGTAAATGTGCCCTTTTAAATTTTTGCAGGCATCAGATTATAGCTCATTTATTTTCACAGTGAAGACAGCAAGTTCACTGTTGTTAAATTCTCGATTTCTCTATGTTTATGATGTCAGCTGAGGTCCAGTCGCAACTTCTGCCTTGATATCATCCTTCTGTGTATAATTCTTGGGATAGCAGCTTACTTGTACAAGTAAGTTGTTCCATTTACTTTCTATTCAGCAATAATCTGTCCCGGACAGGCTTTTCCCTCGAAAAAGCTCATAGCAGTTGCCTGATCCGAGTTAATTCGGAGGAGGCAAAAGTCTTTTGATGCTGTGGAATAGTCTTTTCTGACCTTAGCCTCTCTGTGGTGCAGTGTTCTGAAGTGAACTGACGAGCCGGTTTAGTTGCTGCTGGGGTGCCTCGATAATTTCTCTTGTACGGGGTTCCTAGAGGTGGTGAGACATGGCATAAATTGACCTTCTATTTGTCAATAATGTTGGAGCTCCGGTCCAGGTGATAATCAGCTGTATATGAACAATCGAATTCACAGGGCCAAGAAGCTTGATGATACCGTGTGATTATGTGATTTTGCGTTTATGTAGACAAAGTATGCACGATGGTATGCAGAAAATTTTCATGTCAATGCGGAATAGTTTAGTTTTGTGACTACAGGCTTCCTCTATGACCTGTCTGAGCAAATAGATTGATAAAAAGGTGAGCTTTGGTCTTGATACGTCTACTGATCATGTTTATAAAGGCTAGCGACAAACTCTAGCGTACTCGTTCGATGCGATTTCCTCAATTTGAGTTTATATGGTAATACTTAGCCGTCAAGGATGACATGCTATAGTCCATTCAAGAGAAATTAAACCTCGGGAAATTGACTTTTGGGCCTTCATTAATCCCATCCTAATATAAAGATTAGAGACTAGTTGGTGTTCCTTAGCCAAGTGCATCGCCTAAACTGCAAAGACCTTTTGCATAGTCAAATCTTTTTAAAAACAATCACAGAGAGAATGTCCGCGACGTAATGGCTACTCTTCTTTTTTGGTGGTAATGACAAAGCAGCAACTACGCAGGTACGTCCGCAAAGAGCTCCAAGTAAAAACAAGTGAACCGACACGACATGAGTGTGACCACTTCGTGTTCATGTTGCTTTACGCAATATTTGTAGCCGTACCCGTCTTTCAATTAGCCAATTGGCTCCATCTTCATAAGCTCATATCTGATTGTATTCAGACAAATACGTGCACGGACCGACGTACAACACGGTCAAGACTCTACCGATGCCAATGTTTGGTCTGCTGTTTCATAAGGTGCTGTAAACGAATCAATGCTTCAAAGAATTTCAATCACTGCAACTGGAGTTCCTCTCTATATGTGAATGCCATCATCTTCCTTTCTCTTTTTAGTTCACATTTCAGATAAGAGAGATGAGGGTAGTGTTTGGTCGTCGTTCCACGAGTTTGACCGGGAAATGTCCTCTCCAGAAAGCAACTCCCCGCAGTCATTTGGCAAGGTAATGCTACTCGTCCAACTCTCTGCAATGCCTCCACATTGCAATACATGCATTTTTTTTTTTTTTTGGGGCTCGTGCTGTTTCATCAGAGAGTTTGTTGACCTCGTGCCTCTACCGACTATATACATAATAAAATGAATGGAGTTTTGTCGACTGCAAAGCTCTTGTTTCTTTTAGGCTCATCCGCGTGGGTTTAAAGTAATGTCACAAGAGGCTTAAGTCTTAAGTGTACACATATCAAATTCAAGAATGATGGATCACATCACATGCAATGATGAGTCATTCCAGGTAAACTCTCTCTCTCTCTCTCTCTCTCTCTTTCTCTCTCTCTTGTTGCGGAGGATGCTATTACTACGAGATTATGAAATAAGATACGAGGTATCTGCAGAATATCCTTTGATTTGCCCTCTGCAATCCAAGCTCTCACGGGCCTCATCATCATCAACATCAACTTTTTCAAGGCGTGCATGAGTATCAGCTGACCGCTAATGCTTCATAATCTCAGGCGTCCCAGAATTTGCCGTCTGTTGATGGGGTTTTATTTGCGGGAAGTGGGGGAACAAAGGAAGTATGACTAGGGTTTGCCGAGAGTAACCCGATCGCATAAAGCTTTTGCATCTGGCTTTCATTCCTTATTTTTAAGCTTTAGTTTCCTTATGGGATAGCTTTGACCCCCAGCATTATTATAATTCGTGGGTTGTGCATGGAGATGCACATTAGGTGAAAGTGCGAGCTTGTGAAGATTCGGAGCCCTCCTAATTGGCAATCCCCGGGGGTAATTCGTAACAAAAAAAATAAAATAAAAAAAGCTCGAGATGGTACCTACCGAACGATTGCCATATAATCTCGTCACAGAAAGCCCATCTATCGAAACTACTTGTTCATCAAACCTGGTATAATCGAAGTCGCACGCAATTCTCAAAGGATTAAAATTAAATAAGAGTGCAAACGCGCTCACGCATGCTCTTCGAGATAAATAAGAGCATCCAAGACGATTTGGTCTTCAAAATTTAAAAAAAATAATAAAAAAGACAGAGAAAAAAGGAGGATAACGTCGAAAGGCAAGATATGCATCAACGAATCGAACCAAATGACGTAATATTGAAAGGGCAATATATGCTCGGATAAAAAGATCCTTGTCGCGAAAAAGATTCGTCGGATTTACTTGGAATGGTGAAAGAGCAATGGCAAAAATTAAACTAATTCCGGAGGGTGGGGGGAAGGGATCTATTGAGATGCCGGGGCTCATTAAATTTGGCAGCAGATATTGAGCCGCATTGACATGAAACTGTAGATTCTCTTTTAGCAAAAGAAATTAAAAAAAAATGGGAATGGAAATGGGGATTAACTTAATAAAGGTCGGTACGTCCTCCAGCGAAGCAATGCGGGTCCCATTTCCCAAAATTATATAATAAAATTAAAAAAAAGGAGAATGATGTATATTACAAGAAACGCGAGGCGAAACGGCGTCGTTTTATCCCAGTTCTCCGCTGGCCCCCTCCCCCCTATGCACTTTTGAGTTCAGGCCCAGCCGTTCGGTTGCGTCCGCCGTCCGGGTCACAGCTCGTATTCGCTTCAAAAAAAAAGTATAGGATATTTTTTCTGTGGGAGGCGGGCCCCACCCGCTGAGCCCCCCGTGGACCACGTGGCACCACACCATTTGCCTCTTCCGAAACTGCACCTGCGCTCGGATCTACGGCCTAGCCTCCAATAACTTTTTTTTTTCGACCAAAGAAAAAACCTCCAATATTTTTAAGCAAATCACCAAAAAAAAAAAAAAAACAACAAAACCTGTGGCGCCTCAAAAAAATTTCACGAGGCCCATCTCTCTCTCTTTTTTTTTTGGGGGGTTTGGTTTTTCCGATGAGTAAGAATTTCTTGGTAATGGACCAAAACCAGGAGAGCAATGTCCCGCTGCATTTACTTTGGTCCTGACATTTTTACGAATAAGAATATTTCATTTCTACGCGCGATCCTCGAACCTTATTACCTCAAGACCCGATCAATTTGATCATGCATTCACTATCTATCTATACTGTTTAGCTCTTTGACAACATGGAAGAGAAAAAATCGAAAACCCCCCGTCCTCCTTCTCTATCTAGTGTTCTATCCGGTCGAGGTCGGGGCCTCACATTCAATAGTCGACATGTTTTTCTCTCGTAAATTTCCATCCGCACTAGAAAAATTAGAATGATGCAAAGTTGCAAACATTGATTTCCGAGCAACCGACCGTTCTAGATTTTATATACGGCCCATGTTGATTCTCATGGACAAATCAAAACTTCCGCTCAGTGGTCTCGTATGGTCACTATGGCGTCATTATCTATATCACAATAGCCGTGAGGCGATCCAAATCACGTGCATCTTTCTTAGTTTGGTTACGAGTTATTGTAATCCAAGAAACCCGAACTCTTTATAATGAAACGGCTACTGATTCTATCAAAATGATTCTTCTAGGGTTTGAAGTGGCATTTGATAATTGTCTGCGCTCTGGTCCAGCAATTGACACATTCACAAAGTGAATCTATTTGATATTTTCTCAGAAATGGTTCTCCTAAGAATTATGCGTAGACTGTAGCGGCATTTCATAAAAAAAGGCATGCGCTCTATTTGATATTCCATGGCACCGAACGAATCTATTCATTTTCTTTCCTTTTTTTTAACTCGATTAATTAATTAATTAATTCATTCTTGGTCGTAATTGGGGGAGCTCCTTTTAACAATCAAATCGATTAGGGACCCAAAAAAAAAAAAATGAGGCTCCGCCTTCTGTCGTGCCACGTCACGGCACTTTCGAACCCCAATGCCACGCAAACCAACAGAATGCAAAAGAAAAAAAAGAAAAGAGAGATCGAAATTACGAGATTGTCCTTAGATTGACTAAAACAGTTGCTGAACGGGGTCTGCTCGGTTCACACCCTAGACATCTCCTCCCTTCCCACTATTCCTATTAGCATTTGCGGAGGAAACGCTATCCTCACCCGCTCGAGTACACAGCCCCCACCATCTTTTTTTTTCTTTTTTTCTTTTTTTTTTTTCGCTCCTTGCAAAAAGAAAAAAAAAAACAAAAAACGAAGAAGAGAAAATGGAAAAATCAGCAGAGAAAAATCCCCTTAACCCTAAACACTGCAGGATGAAAGCGCTTACAATCCTCCTCCCCTTCGCGATAATCATCTCCAGCTGCAATGCGAGCGAGCGAGCGAGCCCAACCACCATAACCATAAAAACCCACCACCGTCTACAAAATCCAAAGACGACGACGACGACGACGCCGACGACGGCGACGGATCCCATTCACATGAGCGACTTCAGCGATCGCGCCTTCACCGGCTTCCTCGTCCGCTTCTTCCCCATGTCCTCGTCCTCCTCTTCCTCCTCCTCCTCCTCGTCGTCGTCCTCGTCCTCCATGTTGTAACCGACGTAATCGATCCGCCCGCCGCCGATCCGCTGCGGGGCCGGCCGGGGACCGCCCCTCGCCGCCCTCCCCTCCGGCCTCCGTGGCTGCTGGTCCCCCGCCCTCCCGCTCCGCCTCTTGCCCCAGGACGGCCCGAAGCCGGAGTAGTAGTAGAACTGGCTCGAGTTCGCCGCCGCCGCCACCGCCGAGGAGGAGGAGGAGGAGGAGGAGTTCTTCTTCGCTCCGCGCGGCCGGCCGCCGCGGCGGCCCGTGGAGGCGGAGGACTTGTCCAGCTTTCTGGAAGCGGAGTCGTCGTCGGCGTTGTCCTCCTCGTCGTCGTCAGCAGCAGCAGTGGCGTAGGACTTGAGCTGCGACAGGTGATGCTCGCACAAGTAGTGGCCGTCCGCGGCCTCGTTCTTGCATTGCCACCGCTTGCCGTCGGTCTTGTTGCAGCACGCCTTGAAGTTGAAATCGCCGTTTAAATCGCCTCCCTTGTGAGCTTCGTAGCCGCTGATGTGCATCCTATCCTCGTTATTGATGTCGTAGAAAGCGTGGCCTCCGAGCTTGTTGACGATAACCGTCTTCTCATCGGCGTCCACCGCCATCATCGAGGCCACGCTGCTGCGAAACAATCACAATGTTTCAATCGCAAACGCCTCGCAGGCCCCAACGCTCGCCATCCGCGAACAAATTCCGAGCAATCGAAGCTAAACGATCCAGCTATTTAGGGACGATAATACAAAACCCTACTTGCCCGAAGGAGACGATTGAATGCGCATGAATTCGCGGAGACCGTTTGCAATTTCAGGAACGAGGGAGAAGACGATGGGGATTCGAAATATTTACCTCTCGACGGCTCCGATGGAATCGCCGAAGCTGCCATTGGCGGCGAAGCTATCCTCTCCTCCGTCGAGCTGCGCAAAATGGCCGAGCCAGAAATGAAAAAATAACGAGCGGGCACATGAATAATAGGTCAAGAACGAGGAGAAGATAAACCTAATCGTTCATTCCAAGGTAAATGCACGACGGAAACGCGAAAAATCTCGGGGCTACAGAGAAACCCTAGCTGGCGAGGTGCCCGAATCGAAAAACCCTACGAATCGCGCGAGACGGGGGGGGAGGAAACAGCAACAACAGCAACAACAACAACAACAGGAAAAGCAAAAAAAAAAATGCAGGCCGCGGCGGAGCGGCGAATAACAGCCGCGGAGAAAAGGCGGCGGCAGCAGATCTGCGGGGGGGAGGAGGACGGACCTGGTGGGGGAGAGGGGACGAGGAGCCGGAGGGGGGGAGGGCGTCGGGGAAGGAGGAGAAGGGGAGCACGTCCCAGGGCGACTGGTTGAGCAGGCACACGTGGGAGGAAGGGAGGGGGGCCTCCGGCGGCGAGGCGGCGGCGGCGGCGGCGAGGGAGCCGAGGAGGGAGGAGAGCTTGGCGTTCTTGCGAATCCTCATGTCGACGACCACGATGATGGATGATGGATGGATGATGCGCCCCCGAGGTATAAATTACACACTGCACACAGACAACAACACAGGCACACACAACACAGATAGAGAGAGAAAAAGAGAGAGAGAGAGAGAGATAGAGATGGATATGGATGGATGGATGGATCCGAAGGGGGCTTTTATATATAAATATATATAAAATAATCTATGCAAATAATTTTTGGGGATTTTAATTTTTTCGAGCTAACTGCGTGCGCACTCCCTTAATTTGGCTTGTGGCCTTTGCGGATCTCGGACTCTGTCTCGATCGAGAGACACGGAACTCGACAACAACGAGAGGAGGGCTAGTGTTGTGGTGGGTTGCTTTCTCGGCCCTCCTTCAATATGTTCTGTGTTTTTTTTACCTATACTTTTGACGCCAATTATATTATTGAGGGATGCGAAGCACCGCGACACGTCATCCCCCCGCCCATCCCTCCTCCACTTCCTTTACTATATGGTTGTTCCTTTGTGCGCGCCTTAAAAACATTTTCCGTGGAAAATTTTGTTTTCCTGGGGGTTACGGAGACAGATCGTGTACGGCGGTTGATGAATCGTTGCGTTGCGTGCGTTGCGTTGTGTTCTTCTTGGGGGTGTGACTCGAATTGTCTTGAAAGAGATTTTAGGGTTTTGCCATGCCGCGGGCTTTCGAGCCCTTCATCCCGTGCGATGGCTCGTGTGATTCTCACGGGAGCTTGGAAGCGGGCATGTGCAAAACGGCAAGAGATTTAAGAGATGGGTTATCCTCGAGCGGTCCGTTCGGATTCTAGTTCCCCAAGTTACAGGATTCGCAATTATGAGCGCTTTGGGAAAGATAAGTTACCCTCTTTCGCGATCTCGGCGAAACTTATCGAGTGTGGAGCAAAACGACATGACAGCATGCGGATCGAAATAAATAAGATCGTGCGATTCGCGTGAAACTTATGAGTAGAAGAATTTAGCTTCTAAACAAATGGTTTATGATGTTGGTGGGGGGGGGGGGGGGGTGACATGTAACATGATATAAGTGATTGTCGATTATGGGGAACCAAACATCCCCGGTTGAAAATTAGGGGGGAACAGCCGAGAGGGGAGAAAGGGTAGAGGGGTGGGGCCGTGCGGTGCACGCGCCGGCGTCCAATCTCGGCGAGCGGGATGTGGCGAACAACGGTGGACCCCGCAACGGGGGAAAAGGATCTTCATGAATTGATGCGTGTACACGCGGGCCCCGCACCACATAAGGTGAAATTGGAAGGGCTTTTCCTTTCTTCCTGGCCGTACTTTTGTAGGGTGAATATGGGAGATATGTGGGCGCGCGCGCGCGCGTGTATGTTATGTTTTTGCACGTAGACAACCATGTAGAATAGAATCTGATGCCCAATTACAAGCTTTGTGTTCCCTGGACGATCTTGTTGTCCCTGGTACATCATGGCTTTGGGACAGATTCTCGTGTTCATTGAGCTTAGTCTTTTGCTATTTAAGGCAAGACCCGCTTCAGATTAATCACGAGACAACGTACGCTTTTTTTTCATTTCCACTCCGGTCGAAGATTCGAATCCGAAATCATTGAAACATCCCACGTCGTTTTGGTTGCGGAGGTTATATGCTCTTTTATGTACATGCGGTCTCCATCCACCTGCCAATTTAGGCTTTTTCTAGGTTGGACTTCCTTGCATGCTATCGGAGCTAGGTTTTGCCTCATTTTATTTCGCACGTGCGTTCGCCTTGTTAGTCAGAATCCGTGATTATGTCATTTATATGGGCTTTATATCTTGTCGAGACTCGCCGATGGATATGTAACCGATCTTTATTAGCCCCGTGGACTGTGGACTACATTTGCACCAAGTAGCCGGGAGCTTTTACAGCAGTTATTTGTGATGCCAATGTTTGTAGGTCCTTCACAATGAATATACCGTATTATCGCTTAGAGACAGGTCTTTCGGAGATGTTTGTCGTGCATATAGCCAAGATTTAGCAAGAAATTTAGGGTTTCTCAAACCTTAATTTGTGAAAGGGCTTATTGAGCTCGATAACACGAGCTTGTGACCAAACTGGATGTTAAAGAGGCAAAATGATATCCACGAGTTGGACTGGTGGATGAGCTAAGGTGATTCGATCCATGTTTGACTTCTCATGCTCTTCTTCATGGGAAGTTTTCAAGACATTGTACCATGAGAAAACCATCGAGAAAAACGTGAGAAGAACACGAAGAAGTGCTCGAGCCTGCAGTCTCTTGTATTCTGTCGTTCTTTGCTTTACTTTGTTTCTAGGCTTTTGGTCCAAAGATGGTACACCCAAAGGCCCAATAGTTCGGGCTATGGCGATTGGCGAGGCCGATTGGTTTCCTATGTGCTCGAGCAATGCGACGGAAAATGGCCTCTTCCAATGCAATCGCTGCTTCCATTTTTTCACTTTTGTTTTTTTTTGTTGTCGACCAAGAAAAGAGCAAGAAACATGGTGTGTGGAGAAACAGCACCCGATATCTACAAAAAAAAAAGGGGGGGGAAGAATTGAAGACATAGGTGAATCTGAAGAGGTATGTGTTCATTGGCAAAGGCAAACAAAGAAAATCGAGGTAAGGGGACGAGATAAAAAAATTTTGATAACGTACCATCCGCATAATTTTTCTTTGTGAAAAATGTTTTACTTGGACCTAATAGGGTGGGGGCCACCACTAGCCGCCCCCCTCTTAGGTCCTCCACTGTTTTTTTGGGCAAGTGGAATAACGATTTCATCTTAAAATACGAAGTTATATCAGTAAGTCACGACACTCGACGAGATGATCCTTCTGAAACAGGATGACTTATATATATGACTTTAATGTTGTTGTGGGACATATCTTGCCAAGCCGAGCGACCGCAAGTTGCAGCCATTCTAGTTAAAAAGCGGAGGCGAATTTTAAAATCCCGTGTCATCATTTTGATTAAAGCATCTTTTCCCCTTCGCTTTCTCTTGATAGTTTCTTATTCACCAGCCTCAGCTGAATAGAGTTTTCCACTCTCCATTAAAAAAAAACATTGAACTCGTTCATCGCACATTCTGCCTCTGGACGTCGGAAATGAACTCCATCTCATCACTAAAGGCAAGTACAGTTTCCTCTCAATAAACTATTAGGGTTTTGTATCAGATTCCAGCATAAAGTTCCTCTAAATTACATTGGAAAGACTCACTAAGGACAAAACCCTTTCTTTCATGTTCATACTTCTCTATGTTTCCATAAAAATCAATTGTTAAGTTTCTTGTACTTTATAATATGCTCCAAAGGAATCAAAAGCAGCGCAGCAATCATGACACTTAAAATTTTACGTATGTGTTTTTTTAATGTGGGCAGCACTGCTTTACTGCAAATGGTGCAGTTTTCATCCTGTGCACGAACAGTAAAATTATGCTATATCCTCATGGAGAATCTCATCATGTTGTCCCATCAAAATTCGATCGTTTTCCTATGTTAAGTTTCAGCTTCAGACACGGTTAATATCTCGATGTTTTCTGTCGCAAGATTGCTTGCCTCTCCAAGCTCTGTAATAAAATTGACCACAGGCAGCTCGAAAGTAAAGCTCTGTCTAACCTCGTATCTTTTGCTCAACGCAACGTGAGTAACGAGAATAAACCTAGCAAAAGATGGGCTTATTCGGGAGAACATCGGTCCATGAACTAATGATAAGCGGGCGAATTGTGTCGGGAGGTGACCTCTGATCTTAACACGCTGTTCACTTTTCAGTCCCTTTCACACGTCAGTCTGTGCATGACGTTTGACATTCGTATCATTTAAATGGGCAAAAGACATACAAGGCCCGACACATCAATGCATTCCAGATGTAGAGCTCTTTCTTCCCAACCCCAGTTGCAGAGCAACGATGCAACAGGGCTAATCACTATCTAATGATGCGCCCAAGATGGGCAACAATAAAAAAAATTGTCGACACAGTATTCTTATCTTCACGAGCTGTCTTGGAGGTCAATATGTTTAAGTGAAGAGCTTATGGTTGATTCAGTTGACCGAGAAAATGCAAAACGTTAAGCATTGTCAGAACTCTCGTGGAGGACATGGAATCGCAGCAAAGACTGTATGGATACATTGCTGGGCTATGTTTGTACTTTTGGGATTAGCTGTTGTCCCAACGATAACCCCCTTTTCCCCATGTTAATGGGAATAATCAATATTGAATATTTAACCAAACGTAGGAGTCTACTACGGAACTGGCTTTGTAGGGGGTACTTGAAAAGGATTCACTGCTCTAGAAAATCTCTTTGTTATTTTGTCCTCCTCCTTTTAATACAGACACGCAGGTATAGATAATGTGCATATGTGTTTGATGCAGGACTGTGGAGGTGGACTCCTATCAATCTGCTTTTCATAAGCGGAAAGATTTTGGTCCATCCGACGAGGGCTCGTGCCTCATAGGAACCAGTCGCAGTGCGTGCAGACGCGAGCTTTCTTACAATCTACTGTTTCTTGTTTTGTTCGCATGAGGACGAGAAAGACGGGGCAGGTCAAGAATCTCCCCAACTTTTCCATTCTTTTCTTGCTTTTTCATGCCTTTTCTCCCCAGTGTTTTAGCTCTTTCCAAAATAAAATCTGGACCCACTTCTCAGAGAGAATCACAGTGAGGGTATGCTCCAAGGGAATTTTGTGAAGTATCTAGTTGTTTTGTTTTGTTTTTTTGTTCAATGTAATATGTTAACTTAGGTCGTCAAAATGAATAAAAGAAAATTATTCAATTAAAGCTATTGGAGGATATCTTATGACATTATAAACTCCGCCATATGTGTGTGTACATATCTGTAACGTTTTAGGTATTGTTCCACCTTGTACACATAGAGCAACACCTAGTGGGAGTCACAATCTTAACAACGTTAGGTTTACATCCTTTCAAACAAGCTTTTCGCCCGCACATGTATTATCACCACTCGTTGTCGTCGTCGTTTATGTGGATATGTTAGGTCCATGAATTTGTCATTTCCATGAGGCTACTCAGCTCGGGCGGCTTAGTTATCGAGCTAAACGGGTTCGATTGCTTGTTTATGTATCATTTGCGTAATATAATATTAGAATCACCATGCTTCACGCGTTTTATAAATGGGCTTGAGCAGTTTTTCTTTTTTTTTTAAAGTAGTGGGTGGTTCTTTAATCTAAAAATTGGTGGGTAATTCTCTCTTTTTGACACTTCTTCTATAGTTTTACTCTTTTAGAATAGTTACTTGACGAGAAAAATAGATTAAAATGGGGGAAAATGAGAGCCTTTAGGCTCAGTTTTCACCAATCCCTAGATATTTAAAACACTACTGCATGCTTGGTCGGGCCAGATGAGAGAGGCCCAACTAGCCTTGTTGCATCTATATATGATAGCATTTCTCCGGGATAACGGAAATACAGAAAGATCAAGAAGCCCAAGAAGCGATAGGCATTGCTTAATATTGACGACACTGAGGTCATCTGAAGCCAGACTTAAAGGACCGAGCGTCTCTGCACATGGCTATGAGGCTATGCTGGTACAGTTTTCTTTATGCGGATTTTTTGCCTGAAAGCCACTGACATGAGGTCTGCATATATTCTTCTCGTGCTTTATAAGTTGCTTCGTGACGTTAGTTTGTTGTGAGCACGAGATGTGCAGCCCAATTATTAGTATCAAATCCTTACTCCAGATGTGTGCTTCTTGAATCGTAAGATAGGTTTTCAACTCAATGTATCTCCAGTACCGTAAGTGGCTATGGAGATAAGCTGGAGAAGCCGGAGACCGACTGTTCGGAGTTCAGAAGAAGACCGGCGCAAACTTTTACTGAGTGCTTGTCCTTAGGGAGGCCTGATTCCGCGGATCTCTTACCAGTCACCAGCATGTTGATAACAAGGCGCGTCCTAAATGGTTGTGTTTGCCAAACTAGGTTACTTTTTGCTTTGGTAGACATGTTCCTGCTTTCCTCACATAGTACTTGGAACAAAATTATGAACATTGAAGATCGGTCAGTAAGTAGCACCAACTACCTAGAGCGCATTGCATGTCGGTTTCAATCGGCCATGTTTTGCTACCATGCCCGGATGGAGACTGCCTTTCACTGCTGACTCATAAAGTAGAGAAATAGCCGGAGATCGAAGAACGATATCTAGATCAACTTACGCTGCTTGCTGCTTGCCTGGTGAAAAATTTCTTCCTTTCCGAAACCGAATGATTTTTGGTCTTACGATGTTTGAGGATGCGAAAATTTTTGCCGATTTAGCAGGATGAGCAGATGCATAAATAGCGTGACTAATGTGTATATGCTTCCTCAGTCTTAACCGAGCCTATCACGATCAATGCGTTTTGCTCAACATGAAGGATTAAAAATCTTCACGGATACGGACAGGGGACAGGTTGGTAGGTGGGATGCTTCGAGTGGCCCAATCTCTCTCGTTTACCTTATCTACAGGGGATCTCCCTTTCTCACAATGACACCCACATGTCTTGTTGGATACGGATCCACAAACTAACTTAGAACTTAATGCAAGATTATCAGACAGGAGGAGGTTTCATCAACCTCCGATAGGTAGGGAGGCCTTTGAGAGTGCTCAATTCAATTTGGGTTGGTCCCATGTGAGCTCGTCTCGTTTTGGCTAGACCACTTCACAGGCCAGGTGAAAGTTCAGTCACACAGCCTGAGACAGAGATGGGTCGTGAACAAAGCCCCAGTTCATAGATCGCACAACTCACTACCCTTTGATGCTCTCTCTCTCTTTCTCTCTCTCTTTTGGAACATGCTGCGAAACAATGATCAGTAACACAACAAGGTGGACGGAGACCTGACGTTATGACCAAAATCTGTTCGTATTAGCTGTTCTTTTCCCCAACTTTCACCGATGCATAAAGCAGAAAGAGAGAACAAGAAGCAGTTGTCGACCTGAAAATTTGCATTTAAAAAAATAAAGGGAAGGGCTGACACAGTTCATCATTGGAGCTGACAAGATCCAAACGAACCGGTTAAGCCACCTGCACTCCCTAACCATACTTAACAAACTCCATCAGACACCATCGCTTTTCTATCGAATTATTTATATATCCTCGCTCTGTTTTTAACACCCACCATCGTCAAGAACCTCTTTCGATCCGCTGTTCCTGGTTTCTACCTCTCTCACATGAAGGGCCTCACCAACCGGACATTGCCGACATTAAAAAAGGGCCAGAGCACGACCTCATATACGAAGACACGAATCGTGTTTTGTCTCTCGAACGACTTGATCTGAATTCCAAGTTGCAAGATTCAGTCAACATAATTGAGTATAAAAGCCCAACCTTTTTCTCTCGTCAGAAGAAAGAAAGAAAAATCGAAATAAAAGAACTAATCCAACTAAAAAATGTGCTACTTCCCATTATTTTTCTTGGCCAATTACCAATTCCCCCCATTTCACGCTATACAATACACCCTTTCTAATATTCACCATTTCAGACGTAGTCAGCAACAGTCAACGCAAGACCAGAGCCAGCAGAGACCCTTTCAAGAAAAGAAAGTGCTGAACCTATCACGAGTCCTCAGAAATGGCGAAATCGCCGACCACCCCAGAAGCAGCGCGCAGCCGCTGATGGAACTCCTCCCGCATGTCCTCGGGCACGAACTGGGTCCTGCACAGCGGGCACGTGTCCTGATCGCAGTCCATCCACCGGTCCAGGCACTCCCTGTGGAAGACGTGCCGGCAGTTGCTCAGCCACCTGATCTCCTCCTCCGGCCGGCCCTCGAACTCGTACAGGCACACCGCGCAGCTCTCGGGTGGGTCCACCAGGCTCTCGAACCTGACCACGGGCAGCATCTCCCGGATCAGGAGGGCCGACACGGGGGGGCTCTCGGCGGTGGCCGCCGGCCGCGCCGCCCGGGACTCGGCGGGGAACGAGGCGGCGTCGGTGTCGAGGAAGTCGGAGAGGCCCAGGGAGCGGAAGAGGGAGAAGATGAGGTGCCGGACGAAGCCGAGGAGGCAGAGGGCGTGCACGAAGAGCTTCGGCAGGAAGACCTCCGTGTAGCCCAGCGGGAACCCCATTTTCCCCGCGGTTTTCTCGGCCGAGAAAAGAAGGACGATGGGTTTCCCGAGAAACGAGCTTCTTCGCCGGCGGCTGTCGAAGCGTATAAACACGACGGAGAGAGAGAGAGAGAGAGAGAGGAAGCTTCTTCCGTCTGGGCGGCTGGTAGCTCGGCTCCCGTTTATATATTGGGAAAGTGGTACGGCGTATCGTCTCTTTAATTTTTTTAGATAATGACACGAACAGTTCCTGAAATTTAATTCAATATACAATTTGATTCGTGAACTTTTAATTTATTCAATATAGTCCCTAAACTTTATATTAATATTCAACTGCATTGAACATTTTCATATAATTCGAAGACTGAATTGAACATGTACCAAAAGTTCAGGGATATCATCGAACAAATGAAAAGTTCAGGGACCACATTATACATTGAGTTAAAGTTCAGGAATCAAATTGCACGTCAGGCCAAAATTCAGGGATTGTTTGTGTCATTTTGCCTAATTTTTTTCAACGTAGAAATCTATCGACACACTGAATATTTAAATATTTACAAATTGTAAAGGGCCTTTCGTCATCATAATAATATAAAAGTCGCTCACGCACGTTGGTAATTCCAATTGATTCGAAAGAACGCCAAAAGGGCGTGAATACAGTCCCTATTAATTATACGGGAAATTCGATATAAAAAGAAACGAAAAGGCGACTAGATCTGTCAAAATGGTTATAAACCTATTTCTTAACCCATATATTAGTAAATTTGGTTAATTATATTTACTAAATGAGTCATAAATGAAAATTAATATAATATGAGTGTTAAATGTGTCATAAATGGGTTTACAACTTATTTAAATAATCATGTGCTCACTCACTCCGCATTGAGTATGAGTTTTCCTAAATTGAGTTAAATATAGAAATATTTAAATAATATGGGTCGGGATGGGTATGAGTCGGGTATGGATTAGGCCGAGTATGGGTTATTAGATTTGCATTACATGACAATGGGTCAAAACGGGAGTCTATTTGGGACGGACCATTTTCGATCTGATCTACCCATTTGATAGGTTTAAAAGTGACCGAATAGCGAGATATGATTTTATTTTATTTTGCGGCGATGAAGGTTTGACGCAGATAGAAGCGATAACTTGGAAAACTCTTCCACGATTCGACTGGAATTCATAATAATCTGAATACAAAGCTGGACATTCTTTTATAATGATAGGACTCCTAAAGATATCCGAATTAATAAAGATAACATCAAAACAAATCAAATCTAATCTTATCTAATAAAATAAAATCAAATCTTATCTAATAAAATCAAACAAAATATTGATAATTCGAAATTGCCTAAAGTAAAAAAAAACTGCCTAATCAGAAAAACTGCCGAGATTTTCGGCGATTTCGGCGATCACATTCTTCAAGATAATCACAGGCTAACTGTTCTACGTCAAGGTTGTCGCGTGTCTCCTAGCGAAATTCATCTATGCCAATGGAATTGAAAATGTTACTTCGAGATTTATAAGCGGAACCTTTGGGTTGGGGGGCGTTGATATTTTGCACGAGCTGTGACACGGGAGGGCGCTGACGGGCCAATAGAAAAGGAGGAAAGTGGATCTTTGCTGTGATTGGTGGGCGGCGAATGAGCACGGGCCGTTTCCGATGCGTTCGATAATCGTGCTGGGACGAGGCTGCTGCGCCTCCGCACGTGGTGGCCGAATGGACGCACGTGCCGTATTCCGCCCCCACCCGCCCCCCCCTACGGTGGGTGGACGCCACGTCATCGCCACCCTCTCACTCCATTAGGAGGGGTTTAATTTCTCGCATGACTCAAAAGAACAACCCGCTGTTGTTTGCATGGACAAACGTGCACGACGAGTCTGCACGGCGAGTTCGAATCGGGGTTATCTCCTATTAGGGTAGTTTTGAGGAACATATAATTATATCGGTCAAAAGGATGGATCAAATCGAAAATAGCCGATCCAAATAGACCCACTAAACCCGATTTGACCAATTTCATGCGGTGTAAATTTGGCGATCCATTCATGACCCAATTCATAATGATAAAACACTTTCGTATTTAACATAATCTACGAAAATTTATATTCAAATTGAGGTGAAAGTACGGAGCGAGTGAACGGGAGATCGAGTGAGGGAAAAAGAGAGTGAAGAAAGAATTGTGAAGCTGGATTGGGTCTAAGTATACTGTCAAACCATTTATGATCAATTTACAACCCATTTGTGACCTATTTGACACTTATATTATGCTTAAACCCACTTACTGAATATAACTATCTCATACAACAACCCGACACATCGTGTATTGGTTAAAAAATAACTTTTTGACCCGTTTTGACGGATCTAAATGTAACGTACGCCACAATAATGCGGGCTGCGACATCCAATACATGTAGGCAGGAAGGTTTGCCAATTGGGTGCGATTGTCTCCAGAAACTTTAGTCAAAACCGAATATAAGATGTTGGCTCGTGTGCCAATTGAATTAACTCCCTTCATGCTAATCAACCCTGAAATCGAAGAATCGCCTCCCCCGTGGATCGACGTTGCGCACACGGACGATTGAACCGGAGACAACTGTCCCAAAAAAAAGGAGCAAACGGGAAATGGGATAACGCCAAAAAAATATATAAAAAAAAAAACAAAAGAGAGTGAGAAAATGATAAAAGAGAGTTGGACAGGGAGGGACAGTAGCACTTGGCAGACAACACGTCCGCGCTTCCGATTCTCATCACGCTTGTATAATTGCGGGCTTCTCATCTTTTGGTTCCCTCAGTGATATGTGTTGTCCCTCTCTTTCCCATCATGGAAAAAAGGCATCTCCCGAGAGTTTAGTGACCGAAAAATGCGACAAAAAAAAATCGCATTTACTTTTTGGAAATACGAGTTTCGTGCTTCGACCCTCTCGACATGACCAAAATGCCCTTACACGTGGAAGAGTTTGCAAAACATCCGTAGCCATCCACGCGTTCCGTCGCTCCGTGGACGCCGTGGACGCCGCTCGGGCCGCCTCTGATCGATTCGTCCGCGTAGTCGATGCCGGTCGTGCTACCTTCGATTGCTCCACCGTGCCATCCTCTCTCCCTCCCTCATGTCGTGGTCACTCATTCTAGATCTCATCTGCGTCCACCCGATGAATTCTTTGCCTCTCTTGTGATAGTGGCTGACGCCAACTCGATAGCTTCGGTGAAGGCCACCGTGGCCCTCGTGACGATATCAATGAGGTCGCCCACGGCGTCTACAGTGTCAATTCGAGGCGGCGATGCCGAGGTGACCTTAGATCGAGGTCATTTATGCGATGGCGCGCAATATTTATGTGCGTAAGAGAGAGAGGGTCGGGGAGGAGAATAACAGAAAGGAGACGAGCTCTGTTGGTGGTATCTCCATGGCCATTTGCAACGGTGACCGGGTTCCTATGCAAATAAATATACGACATTGTCGAAGCGAGATACCAAATTTATAGTTTTAAAAAACAAGGAACATGCCTTTTATATTTGGACGAAAACTCAGATATATATTTTTCTATTTTGCTAAATTCTTTTTAATTATGCGCAAAGAAATAAGTAAAAAGAATGGACATTGGTATAATCATTCTCATATCGTTCAAAGCCAAAAAATTGGATCCTAATGTGCACACAACAGGACTAAGAAACCAAATATGTTCTCTCAAATGACAATGGACAATAATAAATGCGAGCATGATATTAATTAGTCTATAAATTTGATCCTTACTATCGGTTCTTTAAATTTTTTTATGTAATGATTCGGTCCAACGAGAACAGGGAGTGATTCCCAAGAGAGAAAGGACCTAACAAGAATTGGTTTTTGATATGCTTCTAGGACAATGAATGGAGTCAAAAACAAAACCAAATGGTCACAAGATATGACTTGCCGGTAGTACCGAAGCTGAGTCTAATTCGGGAATGCCCTGGTTTAATCGCTGTCAAACGATGTCTATATTCAATTAACATTGGACAAATGCTGAAAAACGTGGTATCTGTCCACTTCATTAACGATGTCCTTTCTCCCTAAATTAAGATGCCGTGCGGGGGAGGGGGGTGGGGGGACCTGCTGTGCATTTCAAGACGTGCGATATGATCGATCAAATCTCGATCGCGTTGGACTTACATTAAACACAGGAAAAGGATGATCATAACATGCTCATAAAAGAATAGAAAATCAATTATTCGAAGGACAGAGATGGGGCAAAAGGGGGAATAGTCTTTTACACGAACTATCTAGTAGAGGGACGTAAATGAACAGGGTGCGCTGGGGGCCAAAAGGAGAGGGAGAGCGGGAGCACGAATAGGCGTGGGGGGTGGGGGGGCGAACCCTCGCCAACCGGCAAGGCTTCATGGTTGGATTAGGAGACCGTCGTCCCCAGCTACCCGAATTGCCCGGAATTTCTTTATAGCCCAGATGTGGCCGAGACAGCCATGGCCCAACTGCCTCCACCTCCCCCACCACCACCACCACCACCTCCAACCACCACCTCCACCACCACCACCACCTTCCCTTACATAATTATTTCCATATTGGCTCCCTTTCTCTCTCTCTCTCTCTCTCATTCTTTTGTTGTCCATTCGTAAGAAATGTTCGGCCCCTGCCCTTTACGCGACGCATTGTGATCTTAAACCGAATTACACATATGTTACATGAAGAGGGATAGTTGGTTTTGAACAAAATTGCCCTATGAGGGAAGGAGCTAGCTAGATACCTCAGAGTTCGATCGTAGCTCGACGGTTCATGGTTGGATAGTAGCGGAACATATTCTTTCTTCTTCTTCTTCTTTTTTTAAATTACAAGGTAATAACTCGAGGTTTTTTCGCACGCGCCTTAAATTCTAACGTGAATGAACGGCATGCGTGCATTTGGTTGGATTTTGGTTTAGAGAATTATCTCTGGAAATACGCATGTGATTTGGTTCTTGCGCATGCTATGTGTTTGTAATAAGGATCCTAGATCGGTAGGTCACGTTGCTTCCCGTTCTTTCTATCTCCAAAACCAATCACATTAGTCCTCATCGACTTAGGCGCAATTTCATTATGCTCCCCAATAATAAGTAGCAAGAAACGAAAGGCGGCAGAGACTAAGGGACTCAAATGAAAATGTGCTCCCAATTATAGCACCCGAAATAAAAAGTCTCCGTAGCACAAGAACCAAAAGTATGCTTTTCTCTCTTCTTCGTTTTTTCTTCTGTACCCGCGCATCGAACCGAAAAATCCATCAATTTTCAGAAGGGATCCCCTCTTCCCATCGTCGGCGGCACGAATAAGAATGAAAACTAGTCCATAGGGTTATAATGCCGGCTATGGAACCGATCTTGGAATTGCATCTACCGGTTATCGATCGAGGAGCCAGTCTAGATAGGATTTTCTGTCGGGTCGAGAATTTCAAGTGTAGATTGGAGTTGTCTCTTCAAGTGGGTTTTTGCAGCAAATTGACCCTCAAGTCCAAGTCCTGATGAGAAACGAGGGACCAGCAAAAATCCGACAAAGGGCCATCCATGGATTGTTTGTACCCCCATGTGTGTGGTCTTGGAGCTTCGGAGGGATCGATGTGTCAAGTGTCGTCCTTCTATGCAGTCATATATCTTTTCGATAAAACCGTATTTTGCCTCTTCGATAGATATTTATGTTTATCATCAAAGATGTAATAATCTATCTTATTTAAATATAATGACGTCCCCTTAAGGTGAAATATATGCAGAATTGGGGGTTTCACCATCGTGCGCACGTAGGCTTCCAAGGGTCCTCTCCTTGGTCGTCGACTGAATCACGTTTAATTGTTTTCTCCTTGTTCATGTGTATGTAGGTGTGTGTGATTACACGGAAAACATATTCTTTTTCTTCAAAACCACAGAAATGGAATTTAATAAGGTCCTCACGAAATCTCGACCGCACGACAATATGATTTCATGCATAAAAACGGGAGTGAGGCCCTCGAGCCATAGTCCCACGGTGGAATGGAAGAGCGATGAAACGATATAAAGGGAGTATTGTAAAGTGACGGATCTTGCAATTTGAATCTAATCACGAGAAGAAGAAATTGCACTAGAAATCAACGAGGAACGATAAAGAACGCCAGAGATTTACGTGATTAGGTCTAAGCGTCGGTAACGATTTCCACGAGAAGAGCCAACCGAAAAAAATCCACTATATTTGCTGACAATCTCTCGAAATAATCTGGCATAAAGACTTCAAAGGAAGAACCTAAACACTTTGAAATTAAGAAATTTTATGTGCAATACGCGAGCAAAATAACCGACACCGCTTCTAATCTTCTCTTGCTTGAAGATTAGAGCCCTCAAGGCTCAATGACTAGATCCAAATCCGAGCATTCTCTTCAGCAGTGAGGAAGCTAGCCGTCAGGCGCTTGTTTATAAAGACTTTTGCCGAATCCAAAAGGAATATGGTCATTTCCTTTTCTTGGTCCTGGTCACACTTCAACCCAGCGAAAGACTCCGCCAAAATTTTGCTTTCCCTTTTCTTTTATTCCAAGATTGTCCTCACGATACGAGTCAGGTTGGATTTCGCATAACGGGCTCAAGCTCGAGACATAATTTATCAGAAAAATTTAAAAAAGAAAATCATAAAGAGTTTAAGGTCTATATGCCAAGAAGACGATAGCATATATAAACCCATTCTAACATAAAAATCACTTTATTCGTATTCAAGATGCTGTGAACTTTAGCACATGTTACCAAAGGTGCGCTTAAGGATACATCATTATAAAACTATACTCATTTACCATATTGATCCCGGAAAAGTTCTCAAAAAATATTCGGTTTCTTTTTTCCGCAACGAGATTTTTGGTTATCTAATAATTCCAGCCTCGACAAACTCGTCGTACGTGCGATAACTTTATCGCTTCATCTAGCAAAGGTTGAATGTTCACATGCGCATTTCCCCCCCTTTCCATTGGTGTTTGGTTATATCCGAATGCTTATTGTTATCGGATCATACATCTTTACCGTATAGTTCTAATACGCAACAACGCGGCAAACAAGATCTCGAATAATTAATTTTGAATCCCTTAAGCATTCCATGGAGAAGAGTGACCGATGTAACGGATCATCTCGTTCCCGATCCTGTCGAGAGCAGGCCCCCATCACATGGCGAAAAACGTTATCCCTCCCACGTCAAATGTTGGCGATGTGTCTCTCCTCACTCACCCTCTTTCAGTACAAACACACACCCACAAGGCTTATCTCCTGAAAAGCTATGTGGCCATCCACACGTTTGACCCCAAATTTGGATCCCTCCTGCTAGTTCTTTCTGCTTTTGGTTGGGCTCCATCGCCTCTCGAGTCCCTATCGCCCGCCACTTTCTCTTCTTTTCCGTTCCATTCGGGGCTTTTGCTATCTCAGTTCTGACGTCGACCCGTCTCTGGTCGACACATCCATTTTTTCTTCTCTGGGCTCTTCGAAAGTGCCTGGGTCTCTCTCCGTTTTCGATATGACCCAAGCTGGATGGATGTTCTTCGTCGTGGTGGAAACAGAGCAAATTTGTGGGATAATTACAAAAACCATTCCTAGTCCATATACTTTTAATCTGTTCAACGCGGCCCCTAAACTTTATCTCAATATTTAATGCGATCCATGAACTTTTAATTTGTTCAATGTGGTCTCTAAACTTTTGGTACATATTCAATTTAATCCCCAGACTATATAAAAATATTCAATATTATCTCTGAACTTGAAATAATGGAATGGCAACGTACATCGAACATTTTCATGTAGTTTGGGGACTAAATTGAACATATACCAAAAGTTCATGGATCATATTGAACAATTTAAAATGTTAGAGATAACATTACGCATTGGGCTAAAGTTTAGGGATTACATTGAATAAATTAAAAGTTCATGAACCATTCATATCATTTTCCTAATTTCAATCATGCACGGTGGGGTAGAGTTCCATCCACTTTGGTGGGTTACATTGTGATCCTCCATTTGCGCCAGAATCGTGCTAACTCTCGTTTGAAGTAAGCGATGATGAGGGTTTTCAAATATTTTTTTCTCGAATATCTCTTAAAGGAGCCATGCATTTCATCGTTCAAAGTGAAAGTCTGCTCGTGCATTCAACTCGTCCACCAATCGTGGGAAGAACACAAAAAAGAAAAAAAAGAAAAAGAAAACCCTCTGATCTAACATAAGAAAGTCCGGAAAATTAGAATAATTTTACGAAATATTACTCTCCAACACAAGTTTAGATATATGCAATAATTAAAAAACGTTCATCAACTAATAGAATTAGAATTCATATCTTTGTGTTAAGTTTTTCTCATGACTATAGGCGCGGGTTCGCGGCTAGTTTATGTACTTTTATTTATTGTGTTCGATCTCAAGTCAACCGTGGTCTAAATACACAGTGGTAGATATTAGGGCCTGAGTGGGTTCGAGTGAGCTCACTTGGGCCGAGAAGGTTCATTTAACAAAGGGATAATGGCACAAATAGTCTCTAAACTTGGATCCAATGTGCAATGTGATCCTCGAACTTTTAATTTGTTCAATGTGGTCCTTGAACTTTTGGTACATGTTCTGTTAGTGGTCTGCCCTAGGAATCAATCAAGGTTGATACTCTAATATTAGTTGTGGATTAGGTTGTGTCGGAAAACCGACCTTCACTATACTTAGGTAGTCATAATGTCTTGCTAGAAACCGCTTATGACTTGTGGGCCAAAAAGGGTTTTGAGTACATTGCTAATGTTTAGTGAACCTACAGGGTCGCACACAATAGCGAGGCGAGTTAATATTTTTGTGCGCGGGATCTACTTAAAATAAGAAGTAGATTTTAATTTATTCTCTATTCAACTTATCATGCGGTCGTGCGCGTTATGAGATAATGATTAAACGTACGATTAAAGGTGGACAGTTTGGCGGGCCCAAATCGCCCGGCCCCACTTCTTTTAATTCGCGTAGATAATGAGGCTCTATATATATAGCGTGTGGGTGACGAAAAACCCTAAGAGAAAGAGAAAAAAACGCCTCTAAGAGAATACGAAAATAATCGTTCTCTGTTCATAGATCTTTGAGAGAGTCTCGAAGATCAAAGGCGATCAGGAAAAAGAAATCCAAGATCTTTAGCTAGCACTTGGATCGTTGGAGACTTCCGTTCGTGTATGTGGATACCGGTAGAGGCGCAACACTTGGGGCGCTAATCCAGACACAATCGATTGTCAATTTATCTTCAATCTGCAAAATGTACGTGTCGAATTTCTGTTTAGATTTCAATATACACATGGATCCTGTCTAGGGTTTTGATTTATAGATTCCGCTGCGTTTTTAGCACTTGAGGAACCCTACATGTTCAACTTAATATGAAAATGTACAATGTTGTCATTCCAGTAATTCAAGTTTGGGGTTAACATCAAACATCTTCATATAGTTTAAGGACTAAATTAAATATGTACTAAAAATCCATGGACTATATGAACAAATTAAAAGTTCAGGGACCACATCAAAGATCGTTTGTATCGCTTTCTCTTTAACGAACCTTTTGAGCCCAGCCCGATTGATAAAATGTCTCTACCCAAGCCCGCTCGAGTGATGATGGGCCGGAATCTAGGCCCGTCGGGCCTCCATCCGGTACCCGCGTGACCCGACCCGCCGATTTACGCACGAGACATTTCTGAGCAAAACACCAAAAAACAGGAGGAGGAAAAATAAAAATAAATAAATGAATAAAGGAAAAAGAGAAAATGGTTGAATTTCAGTTCTTCTTCTTCCTCCTCCTCTGAGATCCACGCGAGAGATCGGAGTCGCCATCGCTCGTCTCTGCTCCAGAAAAAAAATGCTTCAGATCTCTCCTCCTCCTCCATCACCGCCGAATTGATCGCTCTTCTCTCCTCCCGAAGCACAGTTGCAGTCATTCGCCGCATCGGAATTCCCGGGAATCGGAGCGCCGAAGATGTACATGGCGTACGGATGGCCGCAGGTGATCCCCCTGGAGCAAGGCCTGTGCCCGTCTTCCCAGAGGGTCATCTACTTCAAGGTCATCAATCGCCTCCTGCTCGTCGTCTCCCCGTCTCACCTCGAGCTCTGGAGCTCTTCCCAGGTACGGAACGAGCTCGCTCCCGCGGTCGTCGCTGGTTCCGTACAGTGACTGTTCTTGATGTTGTCTTTGGTTTCGTGTGATCAGCATAGGGTGAGGTTGGGGAAGTACAAGAGGGATGCGGATTCGTTGCGGAGGGAGGGGGAGAATTCGCAGGCCGTGTGGAGCCCTGATGCCAAATTGATTGCCGTTGTGGTGAGTTCGAGATGTTTTTATGGATAGGTTTGATGAAACATGAAATGATAGGGTCGATTTGTGAGTCGGGCAATTGCAATTGATTTTGCATTTGCATTGCTATTCTTGATTCATATCTGGTCGGCCTATAACTATGGATTGGTATAAGTTCATTTTTTGGGATGTACTCGTGTACAAAACTTACCTTGACTACAATGCATCCCCAAAGGATGGTGCTCAAAATGAGAGCTGGGTGCCCTGCTGTAGATCTCTTCTTTGGCTGTTCCAGTTAGAAATTCTGCGTGTCGGTTGACTACTGTCATTCTTCGGACTGATCTTTGTAGCTACTTAATTTTGGACAAGGGGGTATCGGTATGACCCTTTAGATAATTATCTCTAATAGAAGCTAGAGAGGTGATGCTTGTCAATTGTGCCTATTGTTAGTGAATGCGAGCATTCTTTCCTCCTTCCTTGGTCTTGCTCTGACTAGTAAAATAAAATACCAGTTGCTTCTTATATTATCCCCTTGAGGGCACTTGGTTGCTTCTTATGACGCGGTTTCATATTTTTTGCAGACGACTTCACTCTATCTTCATTTATTTAAGGTTCACTTTTCTGAGAAAAGAGTACAGATTGGAGGGAAGCAGCCGTCTGGTTTGTATTTTGCGACTATTTCTCTTCTCCTCAGCGAGCAGGTTCCCTTTGGAGACATGAATTTATCTGTGTGAGTATTACGCTAATGTATTTGTGTGTATGCTGGAAATCTAAACTTGTGCCTTAGTGGACTGTGGGCACGCCATTGTCTTTATTATTCCCTAAACTCGGTTAAGTTGTACAAAAAGCACATAACATCTTGTAAGTATATTGGTTTTGCTCATTTAAAATAAAAATATTAAATGAACAAAGCAGTCTAGAAACCTAATGGGCATGTTTGATGAATATTTACCGAGCTTTTGTCTCTTCTTCAGGAGCAATATTGTAAGTGATAACAGGCATATGCTGCTTGGACTCTCTGACGGATCCTTGTATGGCATTTCTTGGAAGGGAGAGGTATGGTTTATCTTTTTTACTGGCTATTTACTTTCAGGATCAGAGTTTTCTGTAAGACGTTGGTGCTTTGATCTGTTCAGCTTGAAGAGGGTCGTCTTTGTTGATTATGATTTAATTTCTCTCTTTACATCATAATGTCTGCGCAGTTTTGTGGGGCTGTTGGACTTGACCATCCCATACGAAATGAGAGTGATAAAGTTACTGACTTACCACATCCTGTAAGTAATGGAATTGCTGCCATAGTGAATCCAGGAGCTCCGATATCACAACAGAATTCTATAAAAAGGCCTGCAATTGTTCAGTTGGAGCTTTGCTTTCCAGTGAGGCTGCTCTTTGTGTTATATTCCAATGGACAACTGATGTTATGTTCGGTGAGTAAGAAAGGACTAAAGCAGGTTGAGTCTATTAGAGCTGAAAAGCATGTTGGATCTGGTGATGCTGTATGTACATCAGTAGCTTCAGAGCAACAAATCCTTGCAGTTGGGACCAGAAGAGGGGTCGTGGAGCTATATGACCTTGCTGACTCTGCATCACTTATTCGTGCCGTGTCTCTGTTTGACTGGGGGTAAGTGTCGTATCATGAACCATCTATATGGCATCTTGCAAGTTAATCAGTTTTTGTTTTTTTATTTATGATGGTTGTCTTGATAAGGACATTCACTGCTTGAAAATGGTGTAGTGTTGATTTCTAGGGCTAATAATTTCCATTTTCAATTGGATTGACTGGATAAGTTAATCTTGTTCTTCCAGGTATTCTGTGGAAGACACTGGTCCCGTCACCTGCATTGCTTGGACCCCAGATAATTCTGCCTTTGCTGTTGGATGGAAGCATAGAGGACTTACAGTCTGGTCTGTTTCGGGGTGTCGATTAATGTCGACGATACGTCAGATTGGTTTAAGTTCTGTGTCTTCTCCTATGATGAAGCCGAATCAGGATAGTCGGTTTGAACCGTTGGTCAGTGGTGTCTCGTTGATGCAGTGGGATGAATTCGGATACAGGCTATATGCTATTGAGGAGGGTTCCTCCGAGAGAGTTCTTGCCTTTTCCTTTGGGAAATGTTGTCTAAATAGAGGTGTGTCTGGTATGACATATGTGCGCCAAGTGATTTACGGCGAGGATCGGTTGCTTGTCGTGCAGTCTGAAGACACAAATGAACTTAAAATGCTGCATCTTAATCTTCCAGTAAGTGGTAAATTCCATCGTTGAGAGATAATATCCACATGCCTAGGACCTGTATGATATGGTCTGCTTCTTTCCAGGTTTCGTATCTCTCCCAAAATTGGCCCGTTCAACATGTGGCAGCTAGCAAAGATGGAATGTACTTAGCAGTTGCTGGCCTTCACGGGTTAATTCTCTATGATATACGATTGAAGAAATGGCGGGTGTTTGGTGACATTTCTCAGGAACAGAAGATACAATGCAAAGGTTTGCTATGGCTGGGAAAGATTGTTGTTGTGTGCAACTATGACGATTCTTCTAACACGTGAGGGCTTTTTCAATCAAATCCTTAATAATTTTCCTAGTGTCGTCTTGTCATATTGAGAGCATTTTAACTCGGATCTGTTAGATGCATCCAACTAAGTGTTGAGGCCCTCATATCATGGAAACATCACCTGTGTGCTTTGCTCTGTGTAGATCTTTGTACTTTAGTTTGGGTTTCTCTCGGTTTTCATAGGTGTTTTTGGGTGGGACTTTCTCCTCTCTCTTCTAGGCTTTTTTTTACTTTTTTTTTTGTTTGGGGGGGGGGGGGGGAGAGGTAAGGGGGTGAAAGGGGTGAAGGGGGAAGAGCAGCAGGCATTTAGTTGCCGTTTATTTTTCTTTTGAGTTTACTCATGTTGTATAATCTTAATTTGTAGCTGACTTTTGTATTAGTCTTAATTTTAGCATTATATGGTTTGATATCCGGTACAAATTTTCTTCATTTTCTTTGTTCTTGTCTATATACAGGTATGAGTTGCTTTTCTACCCAAGATATCACCTTGATCAGAGTTCGCTACTTTGTCGGAAGTCGCTGCTTACCAAACCAATGGTTATGGATGTATATGAGAATTATATCCTAGTCACTTATCGTCCATTTGATGTTCACATCTTCCATGTAAAATTATCCGGAGAATTGACACCATCTAGTACCCCAGATTTGCAGGTAAAGACATGTCCTTCTATTTCTGGTGGAATGGTTTCGTTTAGTTGCTCATTATAGTGTACTTTACATAGCTCTAAACATGGATGTTCAGAATTGCACTCTGAATGAGAGTGCTTGACTGAAGCTCTATTCTTCATACATTTTAAGTGATAAAATGACAAACAGCTTTCTACAGTACGAGAACTCTCCATCATGACTGCAAAGAGCCATCCTGCAGCAATGCGTTTCATCCCTGACCAGCTTCCCAGAGAATGTGCGTCGACTGATCATCTCTCTTCATCCTCAGATGGTTTGGTTAGGGAACCTTCCAGGTAAATTGGGTTCAAATGTCCGTGGAATTATTCAAATGATAGTCGCAAATAGAGGTAGAGGTCTTCTAATGCCACATCACCCTGAATAGTTTCATTAATCGCCAGATGTTTGATATTGAGAGCAAATGGAGAGCTTTCATTACTTGATTTGGACGATGGACGTGAAAGGGAGCTTACTGACTCTGTTGAGTTATTTTGGGTGACCTGTGGTCAATCCGAGGAGACAACTAATTTGATAGAAGAAGTGTCCTGGTTGGATTATGGTCATCGAGGAATGCAGGTAATTGACTGTTGGGACTGAAGCCTAAAGAAACCATCTTGGCACCTATTCTCTTTCATTAGCTTAGGGTGGATTGTCCTGGTGCTTGGCTGTTACTGAATTTGTCTGATAAGGTCCTTGTTGGAAACGTGCTATTACAGGTCTGGTATCCATCTCCAGGTGTAGAATCTTTTAAGCAGGAAGATTTCTTGCAGGTAATTTGCGGTTAACTGTTGCACTTCATTCTTCACTGTGATATCTTATTTTGCCTGTTAGGCATACATTGACTTTGAAGTTTGTGAAATTAAATAAGAGCACTCTGCTCTGTTCTCATGATCGGTAATCATTTGATGTTTTACATGCTATATTCAGTAGTCTTGGAACCGATAGTAAATCTTTTATGCTTATATAATACAGATTTCTGGTTCTTTTATGTAATTAGATTGAGAATTCTCTTCCTATTTCAGTTGGATCCAGAGCTCGAGTTTGATCGAGAGGTGTACCCACTTGGGCTCCTACCAAATGCGGGGGTTGTGGTTGGTGTTTCTCAGCGAATGTCTTTTTCAGCATGTACGGAATTCCCATGTTTTGAACCTTCTCCTCAAGCGCAGACTATATTGCATTGTCTACTTCGCCACCTCCTTCAGGTAACATTATATCAACAGATGGTCCTCTTATTGGCATTTGGTGTTTTATTGCTTGGTGGAGCTGGAGAATAGAATATCAATTGGAATCTAGTGAGAACTTGATTTCTGAATTAACATCCTAGTAGTTGGCTCAAAACAGCTGATTCATGAAGTTGATATTTTTTATCTTTTGTGAATCCATATTTGGCCTTGCATGACAGTGTTTCTATATTAAGACAACAGTATGATTAAGAAGATTTTCCCCCTTATTGCATCTCTTATCTCTGACTTCTAGAGGAACAAAAGTCAGGAAGCTTTGAGGCTTGCAGAATTATCAGCAGAGAAGCCTCATTTTTGTCACTGTCTGGAATGGCTTCTTTTTACTGTCTTTGATGCAGAGATTTCCAGGTAATTTTGTCATACTCAGATTTTAACCTTATTAAGAGTTATGTACCTGAGTGGTGTCTTATTTCTTGCCGCTGTCTTTCTTTTAATTATTACCATTCAAATTAGTTTAACCCTACCAGAAAGCTTGTGTTACCCTAAATTTATCAGTTCTTTTGGTTACGCGTAAATCTTTTCTCTGTACTTTCTGTTTTGACTATATATCTGGGGATTTCTGCAAGTCATTTTCTAGGTAAGAATTTAAATTTAATTTCTTGTAGCCTGTGATGTTTGTTGATTGGCTAAAGCTTTTGCTTGGCAGTTGGCTTTTCCCTCTTGTATTTTCTGTTGTGAAAGCTAATCATTAGCTTTTCTTTTGATGTATTTATATTTTACTAATGTTTTTTTGGCTTTTCATAGTCTCTAACCTATAATAAATTGCAAATCACAGGCAAAACATAAACAAGCACCGGAATAATGGCCTCAAAAGTGCGACCAGTTTCACTCTTCTGGAGAAGACCTGTGATTTGATAAGAAACTTTCCTGAGTATTTTGATGTGGTTGTCAGTGTTGCTAGAAAAACTGATGGTCGTCATTGGGCTGATCTGTTTTCTGCCGCTGGAAGATCAACAGAGTACTTTCCTGACCTATTGCTTTCATCTTAATCTACTGGAGTGCTGATGTACTGTTAATCAAGGAACTAGCGTCACAAGGAGGACCTGATAAGTGTAGCGTACTGCTATCTTGACTTTTGAAATAATCTTTTTCCTGGTCAGCTAGCTTTTAATGCACATCATGAAGTAGATCTTTTCCATAACGTGAACGAAATTTCTGCAAGAATAAAGTCTCTTTGCATGTCTGTTCTGATTCCACCATTCATGATGATGGTACGTGTTTATCCAGCAGCGATAAAAGTATCTGTAATTTGACACCTTGCTGAGGAGTTTAATTTTTAGCAAAAGGAAGAATAAAACTATATTTATGTTTTGACCCACCCATGGGTAGCTCAGTTGGTTAGGGCGTACTTGGGATTGTGTGGTTAGGCACACTGGTCCCAGGTTCGATTCCCCGGCTGAGCACTTGTGATTTAAGTGGGGGGGCCATGGCGGTGGGTTGCTGTGCTAGTCTCCCCCAAGGAATAGTCGAGGTGCGCGCAAGCTGGCCCGGACACCTCGGTTACCAAAAAAAAGAAATATATATATATTTATGTTTTGGACAAGTGCTTAATTTTTTCTTGCTGCTACCTGTTGAAGTATATTCATGCATATTAGTCAAGAATTATTTAGTCGTAAATAAAGAAATTAGGCTTTTGTTAGTGTGTCTCCTGCTCTATAAATAGCCATCTTGTGTACTCTTTCATTAAGTTATTGATTAAAGATGTATTCTTGAGTATTTTCTCTCTCCTTGTCACTTGAAGATTTTAGAATATTTACACTACTCAAACTTTTTGAAGGTTATTTGAGGAATGTTTCCAAAGAAGATGGTACAGGACAGCAGCTTGCTACATACTGGTATGCTCTTAGATCTTCATCTATCAATACTATGCTTGTGGATAATGTTTTTCCTCATGCTTCTTTTCTAGAAAAATATTCAAAAGGACAGATCCCTTTCTTTTGTTCTGTGTGAAAGATCTCCTTTCTTTCCTATTTGCCTGAAGACTATGAGGGAGAGTATTAATCACGCAGAGAAAGGCATTTTTTCTTAAGATTCTTAATTTGTCTGTCCTGCTGGGACCTCAAATTTTATTAACTCCTTCAATCTTTGTGGACAGGTTATAGCAAAGCTTGAAGGTCCTGCTGTCAGTCAGTATAGTGCCCTGCGTTTATTGCAGGTAGATGACTAGTTGTCTGCAAGTTTCTTGTCTCATTGGATTTTCTTTTTGCCCCTTCCTTTATATAGGTTGATGCAGCCTCTCACTTTACTTTTCTAACTTATGCAGGCGACACTTGATGAATCTTTGTATGAACTCGCAGGAGAGCTGGTACGAATTGTGGCATTTGCTCTTTTGGAGAGAGAATTCTTGCTCATTCTAAAACCTTTCCTTTGGTTTGTAGGTGAGGTTCTTGCTGAGATCTGGAAGGGAGTACGAACAGGCATCTTCTGATTCAGACAGATTATCGCCTCGATTCTTAGGGTATTTTTTATTTCGTTCTAGTTACAAGAGGCAGTCCACAGACTACAGAAGGTCATTCATCTGTTTCACTAACTCTACATTATCCTTTGATATTACTACTTTGCCCGTCAGAATGATCCTACTGAAGTTTTGCTTTTGTTTAGCCCTTCGTTCAAAGAGCAAAGTGCTCATGTCACTTCAGTCAAGAACATTCTAGAAAACCATGCTAGTTATTTGATGTCGGGGAAGGAACTTTCGAAACTTGTTGCTTTTGTGAAAGGCACACAGTTCGATTTGGTGGTGAGAAAAACCTACGAATTTTTTTTTTTCGTGAATCTTTTGACAATTGGTTGATTTGTGTGCCTGCAATACATGTCAGGAGTATCTCCAACGAGAGAAAGATGGTTCCGCTCGCTTGGAGAGTTTTGCCTCGGGGCTTGAACTAATTGGTCAAAAGGCATCTCTCTCTCTCTCTCTCTCTCTCTCTCTACGCGCCCGAGCGTATGCCTGTTCTCCATGTACAACACCTGCTTCTTTTCCTGCATGAGATTTGTTGGAGGAGATATCCATGTACCTTTAATGAGTTGTTGTCATGTCCCTGACTCAACACGTCCATATTTAACTGCTGTAAAGATTATAGGAGGCACCCAATTCTTCAATTTTTCTTTTATATATCGATTATGTGAATCTGACGACATTCTTCAACTGATCGAGGAAATTCATCAATATTCAGCTTCAGATGAGTACGCTGCAAAGCAGGTTGGATGCAGAGTTTCTGTTGGCTCATATGTGCTCTGTCAAGTTCAAGGAGTGGATAGTTGTTCTTGCTACTCTTTTAAGGCGGTCTGAGGTATAATTAAATACAATTTGGATAATGGTATTGTCACCAAATATTTCTGTATCTTATCTTGCTTCTCTGTAGATGGAAACCGTAACTTGAGAAGGTTGGTTTTGAGTTTCTAGGAGTATAAATGTACGTTCATCTAGTGAAGATGGCTAACTGACCTACTTGCTTGTGGAAATCATTGAAGGTACTGTTTGATCTTTTTCGGCATGACTTGCGCTTGTGGAGGGCTTACAGCGTCACTCTACAGGTAGACTTTGTTTTTTCATTTTTATCCGACTTCTGCATTCTTAAGCATGATGTCATTTGGAAGCAGAAGTCGTGCACCTGGATTTTATTACTTTTTTGGAAGTGGTAAGGGTTATTGAGTTCATGTGTTGATTGGTCTACAGTCATACCCTGCATTCTTTGAGTACCATGATCTTGTGGAGGCCTTGGAAGAGAAACTCGCAGCATATGCCAATTCCGAAGAGAAATACTGATGATTATTGAAATATTTTCAACTGGGTGATTCCTCTATCGGGCATTCAACCAGGCATTCATCCAACTAAAGTGAAGGGCAAAGTCAATACCAAACGACGCGCGGCGGAGGAAGTTTGTACAATAACAAGAGGATTAGTCTTATAGGAAGTGTGTGTTGATAAGGAGCCTACAATTTTGTTGAGGGCAGCTCTTGAAATAATCTTTTTAGTCTTTCTAGGTATTCTTTTCTCTATTCATCTTTTAGGTAATATGGTAAATGTGCACATAACATAATGCCAAGTCTCGTGCAACGCGGAATATTAGTGTCTTTTACTTATCTTTTTATCCTCTGCAGTTTCGTTTGAAGGTTTTCTTTCGTTTTTTTTTTGCCTTTCTTTGTGGGGCCAGTCTGTTAGAAGGTTGATTGAGTCAATCGTCTCTACCTGAGTTGCATCAGCAACTGAATTTGTAAAATACAAATGAAGCCCCTTAACATGGAAGCTGAAAAGCGAACGTGGATAGCTTTTGAATATGTCAATATTTGGAAATTCCAAATATCGATGGCTTTTGTATAGAAACTTCGACGGTGTGCGAGGTGCTATGTACAATGTAATTAGAAGCACAACTATAACATGGGATCACGGATTTTAGTCCTCGTGCTTGATATGTTTGTTCCATCAAGCACATTGTGATTTTGAAGTGAAGTTTTGCTGTTTATGGTTCTGAGAATGCATATTCAACAATTTACGAAGATATGCCACGCTAAGCAAAGTCCAGAAAAATTGATCCTCGTACCCAAAATGGGGAAAAGGACAAACAGAAAGTTTGCTCCCGGTAATGCATCGTTGTTCTCAGCCAGTGAACGAAGATAGGTTGAACCGTTGATATTGTTAATGTCAATGCGAGACCGTGAGTAAAGCAAACCAACGTGTAAATGCAGTGTCTTTGAGGAAACGAAGTTAAAGAGGAACCGACACGCATTTGTATCGACATTTAGTAAGAAACACACCTGCTGGCTTTTTTAAGTTTCCAGTCCCGTTTGCCTAAAGAAAGAGGAAATCCGCATCATAACAACATACACCGCGTATAGGAAGCGAGGCGTATTCGGCAAGTTTGCATCGCCGGAAAACCACAATACATTCAATCAACTTCTTCCATTGGGAGACGGTTTGACTCGGATCACCAGCTAAAGCTGATGGATTCGAAGTGCAGGTTATCAGCCAGCCCCGAGGAACAGATGCCTGCAACCTCGTGCCTCATCTTCTTTGGACCACAAACCAGGACTCCAACACTTGACTCTTTGCACTCAAATAACATTTCTGCAAAAAGTCACAGATAGTTCACAAAATGAAGTGCCAATATGCGAGGCCAAGCATTAGTCAAAGTCAGCAGACTAGGAGGGAGTTTTGTGGGTGTCCTGTTGGATAAGAGCTGAAGAATCAACAAAAAAGAGAATACTAGCAAAATGGGTATATGAATAGATCACCACTAACTTGAAGCAACTTCGAATTGCTTATATTTCTAAATGAGATTTGATCCAATACTTACTCTTTAGGTCAGGCCTTTCGCCAAAGTGCAGATTGGTGGCTTGGACAAGGGACTGATGTGGGAGGCTCTCCAATTCCCTTTCGGCATTGTAGAACCCCGAACCAGGCGAATGCGCCAGAGTCAACCCGTCCAAGTGCTTGATCTGCTTCACTTCCTTGGCGTTGATCCTCTTGTTCCATAGAAAAGCTGTACTAGCTGCAATGCCGATGGATATGCAAATGACCAATATGTTCAGGACCGCCCTAGAAGCGGTAGAGTACTTGTTTTGGTTTTGATCTATCGGGTAAATATAGTAGCGTGTAATGATCCCTATTAATATAAGGAACATGACGAAAGAGACCGAAATGATGGCTCCGAGCCACAGCCAACTGTTGGGGCCCAAAACGGCAGACAATGGTTCGTCAAATGAACTGGGTTTGAACCAAACAGATCGGGCTTGTTTCGAGGATTGGGTGGCGGCTTCTTTTTCTCTAGTCACATAGGCCTCGATCTGAAGCTGAAGGTTCGATAAGTCAGATGGGGTGCCTGAAATGGGCAGGACGAGGTCAAGCATGGTAAGATCAGAGGAGTTCTTGAAGGCACAAATGAGGGTCAATTTAGGAGTCATTGACTTGAATGTGGTGCTCATGAAGATGAATTCTCTGATGATGGAGATGAATGGAGTGATCCCACTGCCCCCACTCACCATTACTAGCTTCTCATGCCTGCAGTAGAAAAATCGCAGTTCGGTTTAATTAAAGATTATTAGACAGACTCATTCTATTGTTGACACGACACATCCAATAATCATAAATTTGGAAAAAAAAAGGTGAAACACAAGGAGACCAGTGCACAAAGAAACACTGTTTACATGGGATGTTCTAACTTAGGAATGGACTAAAATAGATGATATATCGAGACCTATCCCATGAAACGAGCAAAACATATTTACCTGAGGAAATGAGTTGAGGCGGGTCCATAAGGTCCTTCAACGGAGACATCGAGGCGATTGGGAGGAGAAGGAGAAGAAAGGATTTGGTAGAGCTTCTGAGACCAAGTCCCTTCGTTCTTGATGATGATGCTGAGCTTATCCTTTTCCAAGTTGCTGTTCGATGAAATGGTGAACGGATGCCATTGCAGCTTGGATAGGCTGGGCACGTTTATGAACACGATGCTCGTCGGAGTATACTCTAGACCTGCTCAGACTCAAAATATTGAAGAAGAATAAGGGAAATAAGGAACCCGAATCCGAAAAACCAAGTACTTGAACGACACAATAGAATGAGTGAGCCATTTTTCTTCATTCAGGTTAACTTCTAAGCATGCTGACTAAGTGATATGCTTATCATCGTTCTTCACCTGGTGTCTTGGAGAAGTTGAGCTCGACGGTGTCGCAGGGCAAGACGCGAGCACAGACCAGGCGGGCCCGGTTGCGGGACTGCAGGAAGCGGAGGTAGCGGTCGACCATGAAGAGGTAGAAGCCGGGGAGCATAATGCAGGAGTAGGAGATGCCGACGTGGAGGACGAAGAAGAACATGAAGAGAATGTAGAGATAATGGGCGTAGAAGAAGAGCTCGAACATCTTCCTCCTCACGCGGGGGAAGGTGGTCGCCCACATCCCTAGACCGGCCAGCAGCGCTATCTCTCCCGCTACGTTCGATACCCCCGTTTTCTGCCACTCCATCATCTGCACATACGCGCACGTATCTCTTACAGTTCGAATCATCAATAATAGGTAGCATAAGTTAGCAAGATGAATGTATAAATTACAATAAATAAATTGGTGTTCACGTTTTGTTGAATCGGCGGTTGTTCGTTCTTTTAGACGAAATTCCCAATCCAAGAAAATAATATTAAAAAAAACACAGAGGAAATCTAAAAAGAGAACATGTGGGCCCGGCCCGAAATTCTAGTGGGGCGCAAAAATGCGATTCCTTTTCAAAGACATTTTTTTTTCGGGAAAATCAATAAAACAATTTTAAATCCATTGTAATTGTGCCAATCTAGTTTTGTTTTCGTAAATTCAGTCATAAACCTTTTACATTTGTGTCAATTCAGTCCATTTGATCAATTTTGGCCGGCCGGCGTGGCGTAGACGCCATGTCAATGTCAGTCGGATGGTTGGCACCAGCCGGTGTCCATGGATGGACTGAATTTACACAAACAAAAAAGGTTTAGGACTGAATTGACAAAATAAAAAAATTAGGACTGAATTATCACAATTACAATATTTTTATGACTCTTATGGTAATTTTCCCCTTTCTCTTCTTTTCTTTATGGTAGGGGTGAGCGGTTCTAGGTTCCACACAGGTTCCACTTGAAACCTGGTAAATCATCACATTTAATGATCACCATTTGTTATTGCAATCGACTGACCATAACTTATATTTAGACACACAAATAATATGAAACATTAGCAAAGTAAAAGTTTTAGTTATAAAATGAAAGTTCAAACTAGTGGTTTCAAATTATACACTCATCATCGGACGCTATGGAATACCACATGATCGCGCGACGACATAAAACAAGAAAAATATAAAAACTTATTTCAGGTTTCAGATGTCAGATTTCAGATTTCAAGTTCCATTACTTAGAAGCTAGAACCTATCCGTCGAAATACTTGATATCTTGGAATCGATTTTTCACCGATCCAGTTCTCAAATTCTAGGTTCTGCCACCCGTACTTTAGGGGTGGTTTTGTGTTCGTTCTTTGCATGTTTGAATTTTCTTCTACGGCCCAGTCCCACTTCCTAAAGAAGTCAGTGAACCTTTTCAGTCCATCCTTCGTTTATAGGCCGCCACAGGTCAAACTAACCCGACGATGCTGACCGTCCAGCATGGTGGACCGATCGGTGTTACGCGATCCAAAAGGCGCTGTCTTGGTGCATGGGAAACAGGTCACGTGTGGTGCCACTCCAGCGGTGACGTCGATGAGATCGACTAACATGCAAAGAACAAGCAAGTTCCTGAAACGACCATACCGAAATCGACACCGAAGAGAGTCATCTCAACCTGATGCCAATACAAGCCACATGCTTGGAGAAATCTCAGCATTTATGTGGAGGGATAACTTTTGTTTAAACGGGGTAATTTCTTTTGCCTTAAAGATTTTTGTTTTAACTCTTAATTAATGTGGGTTTAGAGCTTTAAAAGAAAGGGGGGGGGGGGGGGTGTTTCAAGACTATATTTCAATATCATACTAAAAAAGTAAATGAATCAACTTAAAAAGGATGCTTTGATTTCACCTCGGAGATTCTGTGAGTGAGAGCCCAATAGAGGATAAAAATGAGGCCGTGCGCAGTGAATAGGACCATCACGATGTGACCAAGCCATATGTGGTACTTGATGCTGGCTTCTGAGGTGAGACCGAAGAGTGGCAACACCGACGACGCTCGGGTCACCGGGAAGAATAGGAAAGCGAGTGCTATGTTCCCCACAATCCCCAACCAAAAACCTGAGGTCTCCAATTTCGCTTCCCACCTGCCATTGTATTTAATGCTCATCTTCTTATGATATGGTTTTCTCGAATATTATGCTCCAATAGATTTGTGTAAGATTGCTTGGAATAAAATATTGGCTGACAAAATGGTTAACAAAGTTGGCATAAGTTTTATATGGATATGATTCTAAACCTGGCGTTACGTAAACATATGTCCCCTTTTCGGGTTTTTCATTCGGGTTATACACAAGTAAAAGCCATGAAAATTCTCCGAAGGAATTAAGAAAAAACACTCTAAAAGAGAAGTTTGTCATATCACTCGATGTATAAAAACTCTAACTCCTTAAACTGTTTCAACAATGGTCAGAAGAACACATGATTTCACGCGTGTATATTTTGTTTCCATTGAAAATCAAAACAGGAAAACGAAACCCTTTTTCCTCAAAAGAACTTTTCGATGGAGAAGAGAGGGGGAGAGAGTAGTGACAAAAGCTTACTATGCCAGCAGAAGAAGGAAAGGAAGAAGGAAGTTTGGGAAAAGCCAGTTTTGGCGCATAAGAAAGGTTCTTACACTTTTTCCCCATCCGTCGATCCCGTTCGGTCGATCTTGAGGAAGCTGTTGCGAAGGTACGCAGCAAAAGACCAAACCAGGAGTGCTATGAACATCACAAAGAAGGCCACTTCGATCCACGAAACGATCCCTAGTGGCCCCCTCACCAGCACCGGTCTCTTCCACATTGCCAATCCCTTGTTCTTTTTTATGCCATTCCTGCTTTTCCATCATTAAGTGATTCAAGCAGCCATAGAAGCTGATAAGCTGACAAACGAATTAAACAGCCGTGGAATAGATTAATACTTCCCCACTTGGGGCTCGCTCGATTTGTTTCCCAGATGGAGGTACACACAGCCCAAGCAAGCGATGAACAGGACTGGGAATGTGAACATCAGAATCGAGTAACCTGTTTTTTGTTTTTTATTTACATTGTAACGGGAAAGAACTCACTAATTTAGTGGAAATTAGAAACATGAAGGACAGAAAAAGGAGATAAAGAAGAAGAAGAAGATAAGAGGAGTGTAGGAGTCAGATTTATGCCTTGTTTGCCGAAGTAGGTGGAAGAGCCAGATTTGGCCCTGATGCTGAGCGACCAACGGTTGCGGTACGTGTTGGTGGGCATCACTATCCAAATCAGAACAGTCCCGAGAAACACCACCATGAACAAGGCCCATATTGCATCTCTGACGATTCTCTTAGCTCCACCAGATGAAGAAGTAGAAGAAAATGAAGTTGGTGATGATCTTCTCATGATACCGGAGTCCACCTTTCGCTCTCAATCTCTCGGTGACGTGTGTGTGAGAGAGAGAGCTTTAGTGACCCGTAGGAAGAGTGTATGACGAATGTGTGGAGTGATTCTATACATGCGTATTTATATATAGGGAGAAGGGGAGGGACCGTTAGTATTTAATTTCGCATTTCAGAAGAGCAAGCATGAATCAGGTCCTTCGCCAGATGTCAAATGACAAAAGATTTCCTTCCTTCTTTATCATGAAATACTAAAATTTATTTTTATTGAAAATATCCTCACGATTATCGTGATATCATGAATATACCATATATTCAGCATTTAATTGACATATTTAACATAGTAAGTGCATCTTCTATGTGATCAGATCTGTGTCAAAGTTCGTCATATGGTATATTAGATTGCATTTTGCATGATTTGGTCTGACGCCTATAAATAGGCCATAGATGTGATATCGAAGATATTTCTTCTCATCTACTAGGTATTTTTTACCATATTCGGCGTACACATTGATATTCACGCACGATTACTGGCATCGTCTAGAATTGCACATGTCCAAATCTTGGCACATCGATGGTGGTGGGGTGGGGTGGGGTGGACAATATGAAAAGTTCATTCTCTATTTTTAAGATGAGATTATATGGGAAGATTATTATAACGATTTTCATGTTTGGCTATAGGAACTTCCATCCTAACTTTCATGAATGCAAACGTCATGCATTCTTTTACTCTTACTAATGTCACCATTTTTAATGAAGCTAGCGTTTTAAGATTCAACAATTCTTGTGCTATTTTGTGCTATGTTCAGGACACTAAAGTCTATACCATTTGGATTTTTCTGCATAACCAGTGAAGTAACCACTGGTCATTCTAAAATTCAATTTCTTTTCATGTGGATTGTAATTCTTACTTCTGCTGGACAACCCCAAACATGCAGGTGTTGTAAACTCGGTTTCATTCCGGTCCAAGTTCAGAAAGAATCTTTCGAGTTGCCTTACTAGGAATCCTATTTAATAAATACAAAGAAGTCTGTAATCCATACTTCCTAACCATTTCTATTAAAGTACAAATACGCCTTTTCGCTATACCTTTTTGTTGTGGTGTACACGGCATCGTGTATTGAGCACAAATACCATGTCTTTTAAGGAATTTAACAAATGGAATTGGACATTGTCCTAATTCATTATAGTTTTTGTGACGTCCCAGAACGTCACGCGCGACACGTGCCAATTAATATTATTAATAATTTTGCCAACGGAAGTCAAAGTTTGAACAAGTATTAAACATGAATATCACACAAGTTTAGTCAAAATACTTTTGCTTCTTATTAACAACCCTTGTCAGATTTACAAGCCCAGATCAAACATCATACAAGTACAAAAAAACAAAAGTCTGGGTAGGTTGAAATTGCCTATCTCCATACTAGACTATACTTCAAAAGTCTGTTTGAACAAAAGTCTGGTGACGTCATGAATCGATAACTTCGCCCTCCATTTCGAAACCACCATCATCTAAGCCAAAGCCCCTCAACGGGCCAACTCACTCGCCATCAAGGTTAAAGTACCATGCAACAAAAAGGTAAGGAACCCATTCTGCTAATCCTATGTCGACCCAGACAGTAGAGTTACACTTAGGCTGTGTTCGTTTCTGGAAAAATATTTTTCCGGAAAACATTTTCCGCGTTTTCCGGTGTTCGGGGGTGGAAAATGTTTTTCGTGGGAAAATATTTTCCTTCCCCACTCCCAAATCCTTCATTGTTTTGAGGAAAATGAAGGCAAAATTGCCCATGGGAGGGAAAATGTTTTCCGTGGGAGAGGAAGTGGATCGCCGGCCGCCGCCGGCCGGCCACCGGTCGCGGCCGCCGCGGTCGCCGGCCGCCGCGTCGCCGGCCGCCGCCGGTCGCCGGCGCCGCGCCGCCGCCGCCGTCGCGCGCCGCCGCTGTCGCCGGCCGCCGCTAGGGCGGAAAATGTTTTCCGTGGGAAAACATTTTCCTTCCCACCCCCAAATTCTTCATTGTTTTGAGGAAAATGAAGGCAAAATTGCCCATGGGAGGGAAAATGTTTTCCGTGGAGAGGAAGTGGATTGCCGGTCACCGCCGCCGCGCCGCCGCGCTGCCGCCGCCGGCCGCCGGCCGGACGCCGCCGGATCGGCGGTCGCCGGACGCCGCCGGATCGGCGGTCGCCGAACACCAGAAAATATTTTCCGAAACTTTTTCAAATTTTAGCCGAACACCAGAAAATTGTGTTCCAGAAAAACATTTTTCAGGAAAATGACTTCCGGGAAAATATTTTCCAAAAGGAGAATATTTTCCGGCAAACGAACGGAGCCTTAGTATATACTAATTCAGACTCAGGCACAAACACATTTTCATAAACAGCTGCATGATATACGGGAACTCCAAAACGTAGAGGCTATGAAATATCCATCCTACATGTTTGAAAAAATAACGGGACGAGCCGAGACCCAATAAATGAAATTTCTAGTTTTAAGTTAGGAAAATCAGCTCACCACTTCACCTGGCATAAACAACATGTATGTATAACAAACAGTATGCATAGAACTTGAATGCATGTTATACCTTTTCCGTTTGGATGTGCCACAAAATCTGAGCAATGTAACATTTCACAATACTTTCACTTAGACACAAGCATATGATGTAAAACATTCATGCTTATGCGTTAGGTTCATTACTTCATTCTCCCGAACACTTCTGGGGCATCCCGACCAACGGGGCATCCCAACTTCGAGGCATCCCGGCGCACCCTCTGGGGCATCCCGACCAACGGGGCATCTCGACTCCCGAGGCATCCCGAAACACTTCCCGGGGCATCCCGACACACGGGGCATCATCACACACCACTATATGGGCGACATAATTTATATTATTCTCATGCAAGCCATGACAACCAAGTATTTGCATGCATATATTCACCTTCTTTTTACATCACATATCCCTTAAAACAATGAAATGCATCATTTAAGCAAATAAATATGAAGCAATACGGGTTCAGACTCAAAAAGCCAAAGTCTACTTAAGTTCAGAAAGTACATATATCTAGATTTTGAGATAAAACTTCATCGGTTTAGAAAATACCTTTATTCAGACTTTGAAAGTAAAATCTATTCGAATTTAAAATACATGCGTCCAGACTTTGAAAATAAGGTCTACTCAGGTTCAAAAATACATATGTCCAGACTTTGAAAATAAGTTCTGGTTAGTGTTAAAAATATACATATCCAGATTCTAACTGTATAGTCTGAGTAGTTTTAAAAGTAGACAGAACCAGATTTTGATCGTAAAGTTTGAGCAGTTGTAAAAGTAGACATAATCAGATTTTGACTGTGAAGTCTAAGTAGTTTTAAAAGTAAACAGAACCAGATTTTGAGGTTAAAATCTGCTCAATTCAGAAGTAAACAGAATCAGAAATTGAGTTTAAAATCTTTTTAGCTTAGAAGTAAACATAATTATCATTTACACTCACCTAATATACACCACTTTGAGTAAAACTTTTTTCTACCCTTTTAAACATACATAAAACTAGCAAAACAATTTCCATAATCACATCAACTATGACATTTACACGTTCAGATTTAACCATTACACTTGCTGATTTTCAACACACTTTAAGGAAACAAAACACATCCATTGGAACACGTATAGAACCAGCAAAACAGATCAAACCATCATCATATCTTCACTATTATCACACATCAAAATAGTATTTCTCAAGCAACCAAGTTAAAAAGTGTCAAGTAGATTTAACTAGCTTAACTCTAGAGTCTGCACTTACTTTGTGCAGAATCTGAACACCCAAAAGTTAAAGCTCTCTCGTAGATTTTTGGATCGGGTGATGGTGAAAGTAGAAAGTAAAGAAGGGAATTATGGTTTGGGTGAAAATTTCCTTCGGTGTTTACCCAGATAAAATGAAACAGAGGAGTAGACGTTGAGGTGGATAAATATAATGCACTCACGGGTGGCATCTTCTCTTTCCATCACGGCCAGGTGTAATAAATCAAGGGCTTAATCAAAGTAATAGTGGCCAAGGAAAATGATTGCGTAGACTAGGTGTCTAACTAGAACAAAAGCTGACTTAAGAGGACAAGTGATATGCAGCCAACCTTGCTCCTTCAAGGGCTACGTGAGAAGAAAGAGTCTAAAGAGATATTTTGTGAGAATATCTCCCCCCCTTTTTAACATCAAATAGAAATTAATAAATTGGTTAACACTACTTAACCAAAAATTTACCAATAACATTATCTGCTAATTACCAAGGCAACGGTAAATTAATTAATACTGCATTACTATTAATGTATACAATAACGTTTAAAATTTTAAACATGTCGAGCTCGAAATGATTACATTCTCGAATCCGCGCCTTGCAATTTACGGTCCAACAACGATTTCTACGCGTCCGCACAAATACTAAGCTAAATAATACTTGGCTTATCCAAATATCATTATCGAATATAGAAAATTTCCAATGTCAAATACTTATTATTTCGAAATTTCCAGATATCACACTTTTCATAATATTCACCACCTCTATCTGATTTTATTATTTTCACCTTTTTATCTAGTTGCCTCTCATCTTCTTATATCATGCAATAGATAAACGTAATCATAACTTGAAAAATCAACAATAAATGTACTAAAATAACTTTCTCCACCGAAAGATGGAACATTAAAATAAATACATATATCAGTGTGTGTAATTTCAAGAAAAGAAAATTCAGATTAATGACACTGTAAGTACTTGAACTTTTGTCCGTCTAACAATGGAGTACATGAAATTTTCTTTTGTTCGATCAAATATCTCAATTTTCAAATTTGGCTCAATGTGAGACTTTTATTACTTAATTTGTCATGTCTTGTGATTTTATTGTGGCTTGATTATTCCGCAAATTCAAGCACAATCGGTGGCGTGGCTCGCCTACTTAAAAAAAATGTGTCTGTCTCCATCTAAGTATTGGGTGATGAAGAGAGAGAATGCCAACTCGGATGAATGCGGCCATCTAATGTGTGTCTACCGACCGACATCATCTCAAGGGGTCACACTGAATGCCAATGTGGATATAATTAATCCCATGTCAATGTGGATAGTCAATGGCGACCGCGTTCAAGTTGGCATTTTTCATCTGCGATTTTAATGATGGCCTCACATGGATCCACATTCTAGTATAATCCCAACTCTTGTGTCGACCCGGAATGTTACCATCAATTCTTTATTTTTTTTAACCTATGCAGTTCGGTTAGAATGTTGTCTTTTTGTCTTTTCTGTTTTTTTGGCCTTTCTTTGTGGGGCCAGTCTGTTAAACGGTTGATTGAGTCAATCGTCTCTACCTAAGCTGCATCAGTCACTGGATTTGGAAAAGCCAGATGAAGCCCCTTAACACGGATTGCTGAAAAGCGAATAAGGATAGCTTTTGAATTTGGGACATATTTGTATCGACATTTCGTAAAGAAAACCAACGTTGATATTGTTAATGTCAATGCGAGATCGTGAGTAAAGAAAGCCAACGTGTAAATACGATGTCT